GCCGGCGCCGCCGCCCGCGACGCTGACGCCGCCCGACGAGGCGGCACCGGAGAAGCCGGCGCCGCCGCCCGCGACGCTGACGCCGCCCGACGAGCCGCCCGCTGAGCCGGAGCCGCCGGCGGAGGCGCCGGAGGCGCCGGCGCCCGCCGAGCCGCCCGCCGAGCCGCTCCCCTGGCCGCCGGCGCCGGCGCCGCCGGCGGCCCGCAGCGCGGCCGAGGCCGCCGCCGACGCGGCGGCCCTGTCGTCGCTCGCGGCGGCCTGGGCCGCGCTCGACGGCGCGTCGGCCGCGGACGCCGCGCGCGCCGCGGCGGGCTGCTACGGCGCCGCGGAGCCCGCGGAGTCGGACGACGACGACGACGACGACGACGCCCGGCGCGGCGTGCTGCGCTTCGCCGCCGCGCCGCCGCGGCCCGGCCGGACCACCGCGGACCTGTCGGCCGACGCGCTCGGCGCGGACCTGCTCGGCTCGCACTGCGAGCCGACGCCGCGGTCGTTCCTCGACCGGCACCGCGACACCCGCTGGTGCCTCCAGTGCCTCACGGACGACGCCCTCGCGCCGCCGCGGCTCGGGGCGGTCCTGGCGGTGGACTACGCGCCCGCGCTCCGCGCGCTCTTCGAGGGCGAGCGGCTCCGCGAGGCCGCGAACACGCGGCGCCGCTTCGACCACCACTTCCGGCCGGAGCCGCGCAACTCGTCGTCGGCGACGGCGCTGCTCCACGCGGCCCGCGACCTGGAGGTGCCCTTCGGCCTGTCGACGGAGGCGTAAGTTAAAAGGTTACTACGAAGTACGAGTGGTGCGACCCCGACGCGTCGAGCGGCGGGCGCCAACGATGACTTCACACATCTCCGCCTTGAAGCTCGGTAGATGCTCAGTGTGGCCAAAACGTGACGGCGACCAAGAGCTCGTGTCGTCGACGCTGCCCACGGCGACCGAGAGCTCGACCTCCCACCAATCCGCAACCATGCAGACCGTGCTCGCTGTGCTCTGCCTCGTCCCCGCGGCCGCGCTGGTGCGCGGCGCCCCGAGCCGCGTCGCTGCCACGCCGCGCAAAGCGTCGCCGAGCGCCTACCTGAGCGAGATCCCCCAGGGTCCGCCGGACGCCATCCTCGGCATCGCCGCGGCCTTCCGCGCGTCCAACGCCGACGACAAGGTGAACGTCTGCGTCGGCGCGTACCGCGACGACGTCGGCGTGCCCTACGTGCTGCCGTCGGTCACCGAGGCGGAGCGTCGGCTGCTCGACCGCGGCGAGAAGAAGGAGTACGCGCCCATCGAGGGCCTCGCGGACTTCCGCCAGAAGGCGCTGGAGTTCGCCTACGGCGAGGACTGCGCGGCGCTCAAGGAGGGCCGCATCGCCGGCGTGCAGACGCTGTCGGGCACGGGCGCGTGCCGCGTCGCGGGCGAGTTCTACGCGCGGTTCCTGCCCGAGGGCACGGCCGTCTACGTCTCGGACCCGACCTGGGGCAACCACATCCCCATCATGGAGCTCGCGGGCCTCGAGGTGCGCAAGTACCGCTACCTCGACCGCGAGACGAACGGCCTGGACTACGAGGCGTTCCTCGAGGACATCGACGCCGCGCCGGCGGGAAGCGTCTTCCTGCTCCACGCCTGCGCGCACAACCCGACGGGCGTCGACCCGACGCGGGACCAGTGGGACGCCGTGTCGAAGAAGATCCTCGCCAAGGGCCACCACGTTCTCATGGACTGCGCGTACCAGGGCTTCGCGTCCGGCGACGCGGAGGCGGACGCGTTCGCGATCCGCAAGTTCCTCGACGACGGCCACTCGCTCCTGCTGGCCCAGTCCTTCGCGAAGAACTTTGGCCTCTACGGCGAGCGCGTCGGCACGCTCTCCGTCGTCTGTAAAGATACGGAGGAGGTCGAGCGCGTCATGTCGCAGCTGAAGCGCATCATCCGGCCCATGTACTCCAGCCCGCCCATCCACGGCGCCCTCATCGTCAAGGAGGTGCTCAGCGACGACGCGTTGCGCGCCCAGTACTACGACGAGTGCGCGCAGATGGCCGAGCGCATCGGCGGCATGCGCGTCCGCCTCCGCGAGGAGATCGAGGCCGCGGGCTCCGAGCACGACTGGACCCACGTCACGGACCAGATCGGCATGTTCGCCTTCACGGGCATGACCTCCGACATGTGCGACACGCTCACGGCCGACTACTCCATCTACCTCACGAAGGACGGCCGCATCTCCGTCGCGGGCGTCAACTCCGGCAACATCAAGTACATCGCCAAGGCCGTCCACGAGGTCACCCACGGCAAGGAGATCGGCGTCGCCGCGTAAATCGGGATCCAATGGTCACCCGGGCGCCGGATCCGTGGGTTCAACGTCGCACGCGCTGCCAACTTGAAGCCCCGCTGCTGCGTGATGGGCTGGTCGTCGACTGCACTCGTGCTTGCGCTCGTCGCGTGCGCCAATGCGCTCGTCCCGCCCGTGCAACGACGCGGTTCCCCGGCGCTCGCATCGACGGCCACGCCGCCGGAGCTCTCGGTGCTCGTCGAAGGCCTCAAGCCGTCGGCGACCGTGGAGGTCCACGGCCTGACCATGCAGCTGCGCGCCGCGGGCGAGGAGGTCGTGAGCCTCTGCGTCGGCGAGCCGGACTTCCCGCCGCCCAAGGCCATCGTCGACGCCATCGGCGCCGCGGCGCTCGCCGGCGCGACGCGCTACACCGAGGTCACGGGCACGAAGGAGCTGCGGGAAGCGATCGCGTCGGACCTCGCGAAGCGCAAGGGCACGGCCTACGCGCCGACGGACATCGTCGTCGCCAACGGCGCCAAGCAGGCCGTCTACGAGGCGCTCCTCGCGCTCGTCGGGCCCGGCGACGAGGTCGTCGTGCCCGCGCCGTACTGGGTGTCGTACCCGTCGATGGTCGAGATGGCGGGCGCCGCCGTCGTCCAGGTCGACGCGGACATCGCCGACGGCTACAAGCTCACGGCCGACGCCTTGAAGAGCGTGCTGACGCCGAAGACGAAGGCGCTCATCTTCTGCAACCCGTCGAACCCGACGGGCGCCGTCGTCGACGAGGCGGGCCAGCGCGAGCTGCTCGCGGTCTTGGACGCGCACGAGGCCGCCACGGGCAAGAAGGTCTGGGTCATCAGCGATGAGATCTACGAGCAGCTCCACTACGAGCCCGCCACGCCCCACGCGTCCTTCGCGGCGCTCGGCGGGTCGTCGTTCGACCGCACCGTGACCATCAACGGCTTCTCCAAGGCCTACGCGATGACGGGCTTCCGCCTCGGCTACCTCGCGGCGCCCCAGGCCGTCGCCCGGGCCTGCGGCAAGATTCAGGGCCAGATCACGTCCTGCGCGTCGTCGCTCGCGCAGGCCGCGGGCGTCGCGGCGCTGAACCTGCCCGCCGGCGCGCTCGACGGCGACGTCGCGGAGTTCAAGCGCCGCCGCGACCTCGTGCTCGCGCAGCTGGAGGCCATCGCGGCGAAGCGGGGGCGCATCCGCTGCCCGCCGGCGCCCGAGGGCGCCTTCTACGTCTTCGTGGACGTCTCGGGCACGCTCGGCCTCTCGTGCGACGGCGACGCCGTCGACTCGTCGACGTCGTTCTGCACGGCGCTCCTGGCCAAGCGCAAGCTCGCCCTCGTGCCCGGCGACGCCTTCGGCGCGCCCGACGGCGTGCGCATCTCCTACGCGGCGTCCGAGGCGGAGCTCACGACCGCGCTCGCGGCGATCGACGCGTTCGTCAACGACGACTGTAACTAGAGCTAGCTGGGACGACCTGCGCAACTACGATTTGCCTAGCCTCCGGCTCGTCTGGACGGGCGTGTTCTGGACGGACTCGTTCGGCGTCGACGTCGGCGAGAACGACGACCGGCGCCGCGTGCCGCCCTTGGTCATGGCCGTGGACCGGCGCCGGTTCTTCGTCGTCGCCTTGGCGCGCATGGCGTCGGCGTTGCTCCGGAGCAGGGAGATCCACTTGTTGCGCATGTCCGTGTCGCCGTGGGACACGAGCATGGTCTTGTCGCCGTACTTGAGCTCGATGACGCCGCTCTGCTCGTGGATCTTGAGGCCGATCTTCCCCAGGGGCCACGCGAGCACGGGCGTCGGGTTGCTCTGGAGGCGATAGAAATAGATCTTCTCCTCGACCAGCAAACACCACCACTTGCGCTTCACGGCCTTGCGGCTGAAGACGGACGAGACCTCGTCCAGCGGGCCGTGGAGCGTCGTCGCGTTCGGGCACGGCAGCATCTCGAAGACCAAACGCGTCGCGCCGAACTCCTGCTTGTCGACGTCGACCATCCGAATCACCGGGCTGAAGCCCGGCTTCTCCCGGGGCTCGTACTCGGGCGCGCCGACGTCGTCGTCGACCGTGACCTTCTTGAAGTACAAGAGGTCGTCCTCCAGATCGTAGGACGTCTGGCCGTGGAACGTCAGCACGGGCGTCTCGTTCGCCGGCACGCCCTGGGGCTTCGAGACCAGGGTCACGTAGCACGTGATGCCGCAGACCGTGCAGGGCACCAGGAAATTCTCCGAGATCTCGACGTTGCCCCAGTCGTCGCGCTCGAGCGCGCGCGTCGTGAACTGGTAGGCGCAGCGCTGCGTCTCCGAGTCCGTCGGCACGAGGGACACGATGGCGTAGAACTCCTGGGGCCCCGCGTCCGACGGCGGGCCTAAATTGAGCGCGGAGATGACCTTGATGTTGTAGGGCCGCTCGTCGTTCGTGAACGCGTCGCGGAAGAGCGTCCGCGCGTAGTGGCAGCGCATGGCGCCCTGGAGCAGGACCATGCCCCGCCGCAGCCGCAGGTGGGGCATGCGCCGCACGAAGCGCCGGATCATGGCCTGGATGATCGTCGCGTGGATGTGCTGCGTGATGAGGCACTGGTGGTCCGCGGCCGCGACGATCTGCCGCCGCCGGCACTCCTCGAGGGAGTAGATGCAGTCGTCGCACATCCAGAGCTGCGCCTTGAAGGTCGACGACGGCAAAGCGCAGCGCGCGTGCGCGACGACGTTGCAGAAGCGGCACTCGACGCGCTCGGAGCCCGCCGTCGCGATGGTCACGCAGAACTCGCAGAGCCGGTTCCGCTCCCAGATGGCCTCCTGCCAGTCCCGCGGCTCCTGGATGGGCGGCAATTTGACGTACTGGAGCATGGTGAAGTCGATCTTCTGCGGCCGGTAGGACCGGATCTCCGCCTCGCGCGCGCGCCGCTCCGCCGCGCGCTCCGCGGACCGGATGGCGCACCGCGCGCTGAACTGGTCCGCCCAGAGCGTCTCGCGGGGGCCCGCGGCGCTCTTCGGCGGCTCGGGGCTCGGCGGGGCGCCGTGCTTGCTCACGCCCAGGAGCTTGAGCAGGCCCGGGGCGCCCTCGTCGCGCGGCACGCGCTCGCGCACGATGGTCACGACCTCCTCGCAGATGCGCTTCCGGTGCATGCGCGCCGACCGCTTCTCGCGCCGCAGCGGCGACAGCTTCCCGTGCAGCTTGGGCGACAGCTCCGCCTCGGCCGCCGAGGCGACCATAGTTTACGCAGAGGTGTTTTAGATAGCGCCTCCGCGAAGTGCAGCTCGTTCCGTTGTTGATGGTGAAGCTAGGGTTTACGACTCTCGCGCCGCGCGACCTTGAGGGGGCGGCGCATGTCGGGGAGGAGCTTGTCTCGGAACACGGCCATCGTCGCGTCGTTCGGGTTGAGCCGCAGCCCCTCCGCGACGACGCGCTCCGCGTCGTCGAGGTACCGGAACGCGTCGTCGAAGCGCGCGTTGTCGCCCGCGTTCGCGGCGGCTTTGCTGAGCAGGATGATGATGTTGTTCCGCGCCGGCTGGGGGCCCATGGGCGCGAGGACGAGGCAGCGCTTGTAGGCGACGATGGCCTCGTCGATCTTGCCGAGCTGGTCCGAGGTCATGCCGAGGCCGAACCACGCCTGCGCGTGCGTCTTGGTCGGCGCGACCTCCGTCGCGCGGCGGTAGAGCGGCCAGGAGCGCGTCGTGTCCTGCTCCTTCTCCTCGAGGTACTGGGCCAGGTTGAAGCACGCGGGGCCGTCGTCCTTGTCGAGCGCGAACGCGCGCTCGAGGAAGGGCTTCGCCTCCGCGTGGCGGCCGAGGCCGCGGAGCGCGAGGCCGTAGTTCATGAAGGCGTGGCAGACGTCGTCGGGCTCGAGCGCGAAGCCCATCTCGTAGTACTTGGCGGACTTGGCGTGGTTGCCCGTCTCGAGCTTGTGCTGGCCCTGGAGGAAGTGGCAGCTCGCGGCGTAATTTCGTAACCGGATGCTCGCGTCCGGGCCCACGTCCGTCTTCTTGAGCGTCCGCGCGCTCTTGAGCATCTTGCACGACTTCTTGTGCGCGGGCCAGTCCGCCTTTTGGCACTCGGCGCTGCAGTAGGACACGCACTTGCAGCCCTGGCAGACCTTCAGACGGCCGGCCTTCTCGCAGACGACGCACGCCTGGGACGTCGCCGACATCTCCTCGAGCCCTTCGGCGATGGCCTTCGTGGTGATGGTCCGCTTAGGGCACGCCTGGGACGTCGCCTTCTCGCGGACGCGCGCGTCGCGGAACTTCTTGAGGGATTCGACGTCGTAGCTCGATCGGCCCTCCATCCGGTCGAGGTCCATCTTCCCGAAATAATCGCACAGGTCCGTCTGGTCTAGGCCGCGGGGCGCGCTCTCGCCCGGGCGAAGGACGCTCGTGCCGCGGAGGAAGTACTTGGTCTGCACCTGTTGGAGCGAGCGGACCGCCTCGTCGTCGCCGTCGCGCCGCGCCTTCGCGAGCAGCATCGACGAGAGCAGGAGGCCGCGCCGCGCCGCCTGCTCGTGGCCCGCGACCGCGAGGCGCTCGTACGCCTCAAAGAGATCGTCCGCGCTGTGCGGCACCACCGCCGAGCAGAGGCGGCACGCCGGCCCCGGGACCGAGTGGCTCGACAGGAAGCAGGGCTGGCAGATGGGCTTGCCGCAGCACGGCAGGAAGTCGCCCTCGCCGGACGCGTCGCCGCCGCAGTAGCCGCACGCCGACATGTGCGCTCTCGACGTTCCCCCCGGTCTTGGTCGAGAGGATCCTGATGCTCGAGTCGGGCCTGCGCTGCACTGATGGCCTAAAATTTACACAGAGTCAACTCGCCTCGTAGCGCCTTGTTGTAAAAAAACGCGCGGCGCTGGGCTAGCGCTCTCCGCAGCGGCGTACTCGCGCCTGCGATGTTCCCGCTGGATGCGCACGACAGCCGTGTCATGGGGGCACGCAAACGCGCGCGATTCAAGCCGCTGGAACGCGCACGGCCAGCCGCTGCGACATGCTCGCGCTCGTCACGGAGGGCCTCCGAGGCCTCCGCCCGCAGCTTCAATAAGTTAATGTTGCGTTCCGGCCGACGATTGGTAAGTGTTGGGAGTGGCGCAGTGCCAGTTCCTTCCCCTCCACACTCACCTCACTATATGATAAAGTTCTCCCCTGGAGCGCGCGCGCGACTCAACAATACTTATAATCCCTAAAATCGCTTCACATATACCGCATCGCAAACCATATCCTCCCAGCCAAATTTTGGGGGAACGGAAAAATTCACCGCTCCGAAGCGTGTCGCGGCGGGAGGGGGTTCTGCCTAGCGGACGGGGGGGGCGCGCGTCCGACACAGAACCCCCATGACAACCCCGCCGCGCCCGCACCGCGCATCCCGCGCGACTGCCATTCACACGCCCGGTCCCCGCTGTCCGCGGCGCCGGGCGCCGGCGCGTGAAGGGCAGCCGCTGCGGCACCCCATCTGAGCGAGCGGCCACCCCCCAATCCCGCCGCCCCGCCGCTCCCCCACCGGCGACCCGACGCGCCGCCCACCGTCCCCTTCCCCTTCCTCGAGCCCGGGTCGCTTGCGACCAGCTCCCCCAAACAAAATTTTTTTTTCTTCCGGAACGATCAAGTTCGACTCGCGCGTCCGCGCGCGATCGACTTTTCAAAACAACAAAAATCCAATGTGAGCTGCACGGAACTAGATCCGACAATAGCCGGTCGGGTCGACCTATGTGTTCTACCGACCGAAGAGAACCAGCTGGCGAACGGTCCCTTGCCAAGGGCGTGCAGTGCGGATCCAGCGTCCCCAGCGAAACCGAAACAACACTCGCCGCATCCCTGCAGGTCGAAGCGTATACACCTGCCGCAGGGATCAACAGACCTTACCCCAACGCGCGCAGGATGGCAGCCTCTCTGGTGGCACCAGGACCCGTCTAGGGGGGGCACGAAATAGTAATGCAACGCGGTACCGCGGTGCGCGCCCGGCCGGCGCCTCGCACCGCCGCTAGCATCGCTAGCCCTCGCCGCGGCTCATCGATATAGCCCTCTTACATGATGTTCCGCTGCTGGTCGACGTGCGCGTGGCCCGCGCCCTCCGCGAGGGCCGCGTGGAGCGCGTCGACGGCCGCCTCGAGGTGGCGGCCGCGGTCGCGGAAGCAGAACGTGCCCGCGACGAGGACGTTGGCCCCCGCGGCGGCGGCGAGGTAGGCCGTCGTCTCGTGGATGCCGCCGTCGGCCATGAGGTCCACGCCCGGCGCGCGCGCGCGGACGTGCCGTAGCTTCTCGAGGCAGTCCTCGTTGAAGTCCTGGCCGCCGCGGCCCGGCTCGACGAAGAGCACGTCCACGAGGTCCACGAGGCCCGCGTCGAGGAGCGGGTCGAGCGCGTCCGCGGGCGTGGCCGGTGCGACGCAGACGCCCGCGCGGAGCCCGAGCGCGCGGATCTGCTTGCACGCGGCCACGGGCTCGTCGACGGCCTCGAACTGGAACGTGAGCTGCGACGCGTCCCGGTAGGCCTCGACGTCCAAATGCCGCACGCCCGCGTGGACGTCGAGGAACGCGTCCGGCCCCAGCGCCGCGCGCAGCGCGGACACGGTGCCCGGCCCCATGTTCGAGAGCGCGCCGCCGCAGGCCTTGGAGCCGTCGAAGACGTCGACGTGGAGCCACGTCGCGCCGGCGCTCAGCGCCGCGCGCGCCGCGTCGGCCAAATTCGCCGGGTCCGCGGCGAGCAGCGACGGCGCGACGACGGGTCTCAGACCGCCGGGCAGGTCCTTCCGCGGCGGCCGCGGCCGATCGTCGGCGGGGACCTCGGCGGCCGCGAGGTCCGCGCAGGCGCGCGAGATCGGCGCGACGGCGGGGGCGAGGCGCGACCGCACGCGCCGGTCCAGCCGGTCGAAGGCCGCGGACTGGTACGGCCGCGGCTCGAGGCGCGTCTTCGGGCGGACCATGCGCTTCACCCGCGACTCGACGGCCCGCTCGACGTCGAGCTTCGGCCGCGCCGCGCGGTCCAGGGCCGCGAAGGCGAGGACCGCCGCGCCGAGGAGCGGCGCGTCCGGGTTCTCGCCGACGACGACCGCGCGGCCGCACGCGTCCGCGTGCATCTGGAGGAAGATCTCGGACTTCGTCGCGCCGCCGCAGACGTGGAGCGGCGCGTCGTCGTCGTCGCCGTCGTCCTTCAAGGCCCTGCTCAGGCCCTCGAGGGAGTTCCGCGTGCCGAGGCATACCGCTTCCAGCGCCGCGCGCCAGACGTGCGCCTTGCCGTGCGCCAGGCTCAGGCCCACCAGCGCGCCGCGCGCGTGGGGGTCGCAGACGGGCGTCCGCGCGCCCTGGAGCGTCTCCAAAGCTGATAAACCCTCGCAGCCGACGGGCACGCCGTCCGCGAGCTCGTCGAGCGCTTTGAGGTCGTCGTCCCCTAAAAGGCGGCTCGCGAGGCGCAGCGCGCTGCCCGTCGACGACTGGCCGCCCTCGGCGAGCGTCAGCGACGGCAGGGGCGCGCCCCGGTAGCCGCCCCAGCAGCTCGGCGCGCCCCGCGTGGCCTCGGCGTCGCGCAGGGGCCCGCACGCGAGGTGCAGGTGCGACGACCCCGTCACGACGACGACGCCGCCCCTGGCCGTCGCGCAGCCGGCGCCGACGATGCCCACGAAGGCGTCGGCGCCGCCCTGGGCGACGACGACGGACCGCGGCAGGCCGAGGTGCGCGGCCGCGGCCTTGGTCAACGTGCCGACGGCGGCGCCCGTCGCGACGCAGCGCATGGGCCACTTGTCCTCCAGATCCGCGAGGCCGATTTTCGCTAAGAGCGCCGACGGCCGCCCGCCGAAGGGCCGGAAGGGCCCCGCGGCTCGCGGCGGCTCCGCGACGGCCACAGCGCCGTCGCAGTGCCACCGCGTCGCGACGTTCGACCCGCCCGCGGCCCAGCCGCCCGTGAGCTTGAAGTTGAGCCAGTCCTGGCACTCGCAGACGACGGCCGCGTTGTCCCAGGTCTCGGGCTCGTGGCGCTTGAGCCAGAGCGCCTTGGGCAGCATCCACTCCGCGCTTATGGGGCCCGCGCCGCCGGAGTTGACCCGTAACGCGGGGTCCCCCGCGCCCATCTCGAGGATGTCCTCGGCCTCGGTCGCGGACCGCGCGTCCATCCAGAGCAGGCAGTCGCGCAGCGGCGCGCCGGCCGCGTCGCACGCGACGACGGTGCACGACGTCGTCGCGAGGCACAGCGACGCGACGTCCGCCGCGCGGTCGCCGACGGCCCGCTTGCACGCGACGCCGAGGTTGTGCCACCACGCGTCGGGCACCTGCTCCGCCCGGCCCGGCGCCGGGTAGAACGTCTCGTGCGCCTCCGTCGCCGAGCCGACGACGACGCCGTCCTCGTCGAAGACGGCGACGCGCAGCGACTCCGTGCCCACGTCCACGGCGACGGCGAGCCGCGGCTTCGATTCGCGCTTGAAGAAGGACGGGAGCGCGCGCGTTGCTGGCGCTATGGCTAGCAGGTAGAGCAGAATCGGTGGCAACTTGTAGCCCATCTTTTTTGCCCTCGATCTCAACTTGTAGCCCATCCTTGCGCTCGATCTCTCAACTTGAAGTCCGCGGCGCAACAAGTGTGCACCATTCGCTTCAAGCGCCGCTGCGGAGACCCCTGCGCTTCAACTACCGCTGCAAGGATTCCCCACCGTCCAAACACACACAAACAACCCCCGCTCTATCACGACCAGGCGCCCTCGCGGCAGTGCTGCCCCCGCGTCTTGCGGTCGACGGAGTCCGGCGTGCTCGGGCCCGGGTAGAACTCGCCCGGCGCGACCGCGGTCCCGCCGCGCGCGCCGTCGTCGGCCTCGACGGCCCAGAAGGCCGGGCTCCACCACCTGCGCCGCTTGAAGCGGCTGAGCACGGCCGCGCCGTAGAAGATGAGCCAGAGCGCGCACGCGCAGGATACGACCAAATCGCTCCACCAGAACCGGGGCACGCACTTGAAGAGGATCGCCGCCGCCGCCGCGGAGAAGGACAGCAGGGCGCCGTTGAGGCTGCAGACGCCGTCCATGTAGAGCGCGTCGCTGTCCGTGCGCTCCGCGACCGTGAGCTTGTAGAGCCCGATCGCGGACGACGTCGCGCACGTCGAGAGCCCCGTGGAGATGAGGATGCGGATCTCCGTGGGCCGGTCGTCCTGGAGGTAGTGGTAGGCGGAGTCGCAGATGATCACGAGGCCCAGGACGACGAACATGGCCGCGAGGCCGACCTGCGACCGATCCTCGCGCGCCTCGAGGACGGCGTGGGGCACGGCGTCGCCGCCGCCCTCGAAGCGCCAGAGCATGAGCAGCGAGCCGATGGTGTCGACGATGTTCACGAGGGCGAAGCCGAGCATGGCCGTCGACCCGGCGTTGAAGAAGAGGCCCAGGCCCACGAGGCTCGACACCGACGTGCAGAGCACGGAGATGACGGAGATAAAAAAGGCCTCGCGCGTCGCGTCGGCGTCGGCGTCGGCCTTGTTCGCGTCCCGCGACCCGTGCCGCGCCTTGGACGGCGACGACAGGAACGGTCGACGGTCGTCATCACCGTCGTAGACCGCCATAATGTTGGGGCAGCCGAGGTGAGGCGCCGAAGGTGAAGACACTGTAAAGATTTCGGTGAGGTGTGTCCAGGGCTGCCCGATGGAGTACGCCGCCATCCCCGACGAGGAGGCGGGGCCGTCCGGCGTCGATGCGGCTCCCACGAAGCGGCGACTCGGCGTCGCCGGCCTGCTCGTCGCCGCGGCGGCCTGCGTCGGCCTGCCCGCGGCGCGTTCCGCCGCCTCCGCCGCGCTGTACGCCGCCTTCGACGGCGCGCCGCCCGACGACGGCGGGAGCGTGACGCTGGCGCCGACGACGAAGGCGGAGAACGCGGCCAAGGCGGCGGCCTGCGCGGACTGCGACTGCTTCCGCAACGTCTGGTACGTCGACTCCGCCGTCGACGTCGACGGCCCCACGGGCTTCTGCTGGGCGTCCGCGTTCGCGCACCTCGGCACGGCGCTCGACGCCGCGTCCTACGGCGACGAGATCTGGGTCGCCCACGGCGTCTACGCGCCCCTGGGCGGGTCGCGCAACGCGACGTTCCGCATGCGCGAGGGCGTCGAGGTCTACGGCGGCTTCCGCGGCAACGAGGAGCTCCGCGCGGAGCGCGACTACGCGGCGTACCGCACGGTGCTCACGGGCGATTTAGGCGGGGCCGCGGAGGCTGTGGAAGACGACGACGACACGATCCTCAACGGCGGCACGCGCGCGCGGTCGAGCGCGCGGCGCGCGTACCACGTCGTCACCGCGGCGCACTGGGCGTCGCTGGACGGGTTCGTCGTCACGCGGGGCCTCGCCGACGGCCCGGGCCTCGACGGCTTCGGGGGCGGGTTCTACGCCGTGGAGCGCACGTCCATGCGCGTGCACAACACGATGTTCGTCGACAACCGCGCCGTGTCCGGCGGCGCGGCGTTCGGATGGATCTGGTCGAGCTCCGTGTTCTACAACTGCCACTTCGTCAACAACACGGCCGTGGGCACGCCCTATTTCGGGGGGGGCGGCGGCGTCGCGCTGAACACGGACGGCGCGAACGCGACGTACGACACGTGCGTGTTTTCCAACAACTACGCGTCGCGGCGCGGCGGCGCGCTCTTCGCGGACTACGGGTCCTGGGTGTCCGTCAAGGACTGCACCTTCGAGCACAACCGGGCCTACCTGGGCGGGGCGCTCTTCGCGGACAACCGCGCCGCGCGCATCGGCTCCACGGGCCACGTCGTCTCGGGGTCGACGTTCCGCGGCAACGCCGCGCGGCTCTACGGCGGCGCGTCGCTGGACTACAACCAGGCGACGTCGACCTTCGCCACCTGCACCTTCATCAAGAACAACGCGTCGGCGGGCGGCGGCCTCGCGTCGATCTCGGGGACGACGGACTCGGCGCTCTCGGACGCGTTCGAGTCGGGCGTCTTCGAGGGCAACGCGCCCGACGACATCCTGGAGCTCGAGGCCGACGCGGACACGCTGAGCGGCAAGCGCTTCGCCGACGCCGCGGGCAACGCGACGGAGCTGCGGGCGCTCACGCGCCTCTGGCGCGAGCGCGACGCCGCGCGCGAAAGCGGCTGGCGCCTCGACGCCGCGGCCGCGGGCGGCGGGCCCAACGCGTCCGTCGTCGTCTACGTGGACGTCCGCTCGACGGCGACGGCCGCCGACGGGTCGTCCTGGGACGAGGCCTACGCCAACCTCCAGAAGGGCATCGACTCCGCCGCGGCGGCCGTCGCCGCGGGCCTCGACTTCGCGGAGGTCTGGGTCGCCGCGGGCGTCTACGCGCCGAAATGCGCCGACGACCCGGGCTGCGCGAAGCCCCAGGACGCGTCCTTCGCCCTCGCCGACGGCGTCCGCGTCTACGGCGGCTTCGCCGGGTCCGAAAGCGTGCGCGACGATCGCGACTGGGCCGCGCGGCTCAGCGTGCTCTCGGGCGACCTCGGCGGCGGCCTGCACGCGCTCCACGTCGTGACGGGCGCCAACGACACGCGCCTCGACGGCTTCGTCGTCCGCGACGGCCGCGCGTCGGGGTCCGACGACGACACGTACGACGACGACGACGTCGCCGCGGTCGCGGACGACCCGGGCGCCGAAGTCATGGACGACCCGGGGTCCGTCGAGACGCCCGGCGACGACGCGCTCGCCCTGGACGGCGACGACGTCGGCGCGCAGCCCGCGACGCCCTCGCTCGACTTCGGCGGCGACGCCGAGGGCACGGACGACCAGATGGCCGTCGAGCTCTCGGGCGACGCCAACGACGCCTGCGGCGGCGGCCTGCTCAACTACTACGCGTCGCCCTGGGTCGAGAACGTGCTCTTCGCGAGCAACCGCGGCGGCAAGGGCGGCGCCGTCTACAACATCCTCGAAAACGACTACGCGGCGCCCGCGCTGCCGGGCACGAACCGGTCGTCGCCGACGTTCAAGAACGTCGCCTTCGTTGGCAACTTCGCGAGCGAGCGCGGCGGCGCCATGGCCAACGACGCCTACACGTACACGCTCTGCGACCGCTGCACCTTCTGGCGCAACGCGGCGGGCAAGGGCGGCGCGGCCTACATGGACTACACGTCGTCGCCGACCTTCTCCCGGTCCGTCTTCGAGCACAACTTCGCCATCGACGCCGGCGGCGCCATCGGCGGCGACGGCTCGACGACGTTCACGCTCGACGGGTCGCGCGTCGTCGGCAACCGCGCGCGCTACAGCGGCGGCGGCATCTACCTCGGCACCTACGGCGCCGTCCACGGCGGCGCGAACAACCTGCCGCGCATCCACGACTCCGTCGTGGCGGGCAACGACGCGCTCTGGAACGGCGAGAAGGACCTGTTCCTCTTCGCGCTCGACGACGCGTTCATCATCTCGGCGCAGATCGGCGAGGAGGCGTTCACGCTCGCGCCCGTGTCCATGCCCGACGGCTTCGGGCCCGTGACCGACGACGAGGCCGCCGTGCCGCCCATGGAGACCATCGACCCGCCGCGGAACGCGTCTTCGGACGACGACGCGAAGGCCACGCACGCTGCGAGGCCGACGCGCCGCGCCTAGGCCCCTTTGTATGTTCCTTTGCTAATTGTCGCTTCGTCTATGGTATCACCGTCGCTCCCCACCCGCTGGAGCGAGCGCCTTCTCCATGCGCACCGCGGGCTGGCCCTCGCCGTAGAAGTCCCGCAGCACCGCCGCGCGCGTGAAGCCGTGCTTGCGGTAGAGGTAGATCGCCGGGTCGTTGTCCGGTCGCACCTACGGCGCCCAACGTCGAAGACGAGAAAACGATGGCCGGACGCGGGCGCCGCGCGAAGAGCTCCGCGGCGTCGAACGCGGCGGGGTCGCGACGGATGCGGTCGCAGGCCTCGAGGAGCAGCGCCGACGCGACGCCGCGGCGGCGAAACTCGGGGAGGACGCCGAGCTTGACGATCTTCCGACCGTCGACGACGACGAAGCCGGCCTCGGCGCCGCCGACGCAGGCCGTGCGGTACCAGAGCCGCGAGCCCGTCGCGCTGTGCCCGTCGCCGAGGAGCGTGCGCTCGTCGTGAGCGCCCAGCGGCGCTTCCTTGATGATGCACGCCGCGGCCATCCTTCTCGGTGAGACGCGGCCTGCCTAGAAAGCGCTGCCCATAGCCGGAGAGGTCGGCGTTCAAAGTCAACAATAAGTTCAAGCAGGGCTGCCCAGCAAAACTCCCAGCAAAGGATGGCGGCGCTCGCGCTCGCCTTGTGCGCAGCCGTAGCGCTGGCCAAGCCAACGGAGATCGAGTATGGCACCATCGGATCGAAAACGACCTACCTGCCCGGCGACCCGCTGCTCTGGAGCGCCGACATGACGGCGCATTGGCTGCACGCGTCGGGCTTCCCCTGGCAGGCCCAAAAAGCGCGCCGCGCGCGGCTCGCCGGCGGCCAGCTGCTCGGCATCCTCGAGGAGGGCAAGCTGACGACGCTGCTCGCCCAGGGCCGCAAGGACGTGGCGAGGAAGCGGGCCGGCGACGAGGGAAAGCTGAAAAAAGCGCTCGAAGCCGCGTTCGCCGCGTGCGAGGCCCGCGGCGCCTGCGGCCTCGAGGACAGCACGCGGCGCCTCGGCCGCCTCGCCAACGGCGCGAACTGGACCGGCGACGCCCTGCGGGACCGCGCCGCCGGGTCGCTCGTGTTCTCGCTCGCGGGCGACGCGCTCGCGATGCCCGTGGACTACCTCGAGGACGCGAGGACCGCGGCCGGCGACGGCGGCGTCGCCGGCTACGCGGCGCCGCAGGCGTATCACGCGAGCAACGTGTTCATGGCGGACCTCTGGGCCCGGGACGACAAGGTGCGGAGCGCCGTCGGCTTCAACGTGCTCCACAAAGGCGCGGCGGCGTGGCCCGAGAAGCACGCGCACCCGCACGGCCTCCTCGAAGCCGGCGAGAACACGCTCGAGCGCCTGCTGCTGCGCGTGCTCCTCCGCCTCGTCGCGACGCAGCAGTTCTACTTTGGCTACGAGTACGTGACGGACTACGCGGAGTTCATGACGGACCCGGAGAGCCACAACGACTCCTGGGCCGACGAGGGCCACGTGAAATTCTTCGCGAGCTTCCGGAGCGGCGCCGAAAAGCTCGAGGACAACGTCGCGGACGCCATCGAGGTGGCCAACGCGGGCATCCTGAGCCACGCGGGCGCGATGCTGGTGGCGCACGGGCGGAACCTCGCGGCGCGGGGCATGCCCGACGCGGAGCTCGGCGCGCTGCTCGCGGACGAGCTCCGCCACCACGTCCGCCACGTGCACCGCCACGCCCACCTCGACCGCCACGGCGTGCTGCTGGGCCGCGTGCTGCTCGAGCTCCTGGCGGGCGACGACCTGAGGGCCGCGACGGCGCGCGCGGCGACGGAGCTCGGCTTCGACGCCGCGAAGCTCGCGAAGCGCGGCGCGCGCTACGCCGAGGACCCCTACGCGGACCTGGCGGTGTTGCGGGACTTGGGCGTCGGCGCCGACGTCGCCGAGGCCGTGCCCGCGGCGCTCTACCTCGCGCACCGCTACGCGGCCGTCGCCGACGCCGGCGCCGCGCTCCGCGCGTCCGCGAACGGCGGCGGCGCCGCGGCGCACCGCGGCGCGCTCCTCGGCGCGCTCCTCGGCGCGGCCCACGGGCACGACGCCCTCGCCGCGGCGGAACCGGCCCTCGTCGGCGGCCTCGCGGACCGCGACGGCATCTTCCTCGACGTCGGCCGCTTCCTGGACTCGACGCTCGCGGCCGAGGGGTCGCCGGGCTGGCTCCGCGCGCACCGCACGCGCCGCCCGCCGGGCCACCGCTTCCACGGCCTCGAGATGGACTGCCTCGACCCGGACTCGACCGTGCCGTAACAGTGCCGTAACAAACAAATATCTTCATGTTGAATTTCACCTTGACGATTCGAAGCTTGTCGTAGCACAACTTCTCGCATTCTCGCTGCGCTCTCCGGACGCTGCCGCTGGCGCGAGGCAGCCCCGATGAGCATGCAGATGACGCCGTACCGCGACGGGAGCTTCGACCACCGGGAGTCCGAGGCCGACGACTTCCTGGGCGTCAATTTTGACGGAAAGAGCACGTTGGTCGAATTAAAACCCCACCGCCGCTGGAGCACCTGCGCGCTCGTCGCCGTCTGCTGCGCGTCCTTCTGCGCCGTCGCCGCGGCGGCCGTCGGCGTCGCCTACGTCCTCGAGGCCGACGTGCCGTACGCGCCGTGGGGCGACGACGACGACGACGACGACTCGGCGGTTTCGTCGGAGGACGAGGCCGCGTTCTTCTCCGCGGCGCTGACGACGGTCTTCAACCCGGACGTGCTCGAGGACGACCTGTCGCAGCGCATCATCGTCCGCGCCGCCGCGGCGGCGATGAACGTGAGCGTCGCCGACATCACGGACTACCTGGTGTCCGCGCAGCGGCGGCGGCTGAGGCACGAGAACGGCACGCGAGGAGGAAATTTCGGGAACCTCACGCTCCGGAACGTCACGATCTCCTTCGACGTCGTGCAGAGGACGGAGATCGACGCCGAGGCTGCGAGGGAGAAGCTCACGGCGGCCGTGGAGAGCGGCGACTTCGCGGAGCTGGTCGCGGAGAAGATCGACGGCCTCGCGAACGAATTGGGGCTCACGGCGGACGAGGAGACGATGGCGAGGGTCGAGGCCGCCCAGGACACGTGGAAGCGCGTCTCCGCCGTCGCGGCTCTCCGTCGGGCCGAGGTTCCGCGCCATCCCGTTCTTGTAGGTTCAAGAAGCTGAAGGAGGCGATCTACACGAAGATCTCGACGATCATGGGCGAGGACCTCGTGCCCGCGCCGACGCGGGCGCCGACGGGCCTGATGTCGACGCTCGTCAAGTCGGCCCTCTACCTCGGCTCGACGTCCGCGGACGACCTCTACGGCGACGCCGACGCGTCCATCGGGAGCGTCGTCATGGCCGTGAGCGCCGCGACGGGCGTCGACGCGGCGGACGTCCTCGTCGGGGACCTGGGCGCGCTGGGCGACGACGACGTCGAGATCCTGCTCGATTTGGTCTGCGACGACGCCGCGACGGCCCAGGCCGCGGCGGGCGCGTTCCACGGCGCCGTCGACGACGGCTCGCTGACGACGGAGCTCCGGACCTACGCCGCGAGCTACGGCGCGACGGGCCTATCGGCGTCGACGGCGGACGTCGTCGTGACGTACCTCGAGCGCGCCGAGGCCACGCCGGCGCCCGCCGCGTCCTACTCCTACTCCTACGAGGACGAGGACGGCGGCGCGTCGGCGGCGACGTATCTCGCGGTGTCGCTCGATCTCGGCGGCACGTCCACGGAGGAGCTGTTCGTCGACGACGCGGCGCTCTACGTGCTGCTCGCGTCCGTCGCGACGGCCGCGGACGTCGGCGAGGACGCGCTGGCGAATTTCAACGCGGTCGATCGGGCCGAGGGCGGCGTGACCTTCAGGTGCGACGTGACCGTCGACTCCTACGACGACGCCCAGACCAAGGCGGCCGCGCTCGAGGAGTCCGTCGCCGACGGGTCCTTCACGACGACGATGCAGGGCCTCGCGACGGACATGGGCGTCGACGCCCTCTTGGAAGCGACGGCCGACGACATCACCGTCGACATCGCCGGCTACGTGCCTCCGGCGCCGACGGCCGGCGAGGCCACGTCGGAGACGTACGTCGCGATCGCGCTCGACATCAGCGGCACGTCCACGGAGGAGCTCTTCGTCGACGACACGGCGCTCTACGTCATCCTCTCGAGCATTTCTTCCACGATGGGCGTGAGCGACGACGCGCTCTCGAACTTTGGAGTCGTGGACTCCGTCGACGGCTCGAGACGCTTATCCGACGGCGTGACCTTCACCTGCGACGTCGCCGTCGATTCCTACGACGACGGCGAGACCAAGGGCTCGGCGCTCGAGGACGCGGTCGCCGACGGATCCTTCACGACGACGATGCGGAGCCTCGCGACGGACATGGGCGCCGACGATCTGACCGACGCGACGGCGGACGCCGCGACCTACGCGGTGGTCGGCGACGACGGCTCGGACTCGGGGGAGTCGGACTCGATGCCCCTGAATTGCGCCGAGGACGCGGACTGCTGCGCGGAGCAGGGCGGGTCCTGCGACTGCGAGAGCGGCGTCGTCGCCTTTGGGAGCAACGGCCTCGACTGGGAGGGCGGCAACCCCATGTGGGCCTACGCGGCGTCGCCGGCGGACTGCGCGACGTCGGCGTTCGGCGAGGATCCCGCGCCGGGCTACGACAAGTGGTGCGCGTGCGCCGACGAGGCCCTGGAGACGGCCGCGCCTTCGTCTTCGCCGACGCCGGCGCCGACGACGGGCGCGCCCTCGGCGGCGACGCGCGCCTGGAGCTGCGCCGAGGACGCCGCGTGCTGCAGCGAGCAGGGGGGCGCGTGCGCGTGCGAGTCGGGCGCCATGGCCTACGGGAGCAACGGCCTCGACTGGTCGGGCTTCGACCCCATGTGGGCCTACGCGGAGGCGGACTCCATCGAGTGCTCGACGGCGGCCTTCGGCGGCGACGACCCCGCGCCGGGCTACGACAAGTGGTGCCGGTGCCTCGGCGGCCTCCCGTCGGCCGCGCCGTCGTCGCCCGCGCCGTCCGTGTCCCGGCCGCCGACCGCGGCCCCGTCGTCCGGGCCGTCCTCGACGCCGTCCGCGCTCCCGAGCCCGCTGCCGTCGTCGACGCCCTCCTCGGCGCCGACGACGGTGGCGCCGACGAGCGCCGCGCCGAGCCTCGCGCCGTCGACGGCCGCGCCGTCCGCGGCGCCCGCGCCGGCGCCGACCGCGGCGCCGGAGCCGACCGCGGCGCCCTCGACGTCGGCCGCGCCGTCGGCGGCGCCGTCGGCGTTCGACTTCTGGGACTGCGACTCGGATCCGAACTGCTGCGCCGAGTCGGGCGACACCTGCGCCTGCGACTCGGGCTGGATGGCCTACGGCAGCAACGGCATGGAATGGCGGGGCACCGGCGTCCGCCGGCGCGCGCGCGCCGACGCTCGCGCGAGACGCGCGCGATCCCGTCGCTTTTCCTAGGCAGGGCTACACGCCCATGTGGGTCTACCTCGAGGCCGACTCGGCGACGTGCAACACGGAGACCTTCGGCCAGGGCGACCCCGCGGGCGGCTACAGCAAGTGGTGCAGATGCGTCGGCGGCGAGCCGACGCTGCGCCCGTCGACGCAGGCGCCGTCGCACGTCCCGACGATTCTGGCGCCGACGGCCTCCGCCCCGCCGACGGTCTCGCCGCCGCCGTCGGGTCTGCCGACGACGGCGGCGCCGTCGGCGTTCAGCTTCTTGGACTGCGACTCGGATCCGAACTGCTGCGCCGAGTCGGGCGACACCTGCGCCTGCGACTCGGGCTGGATGGCCTACGGCAGCAACGGCATGGAATGGCGGGGCACCGGCGTCCGCCGGCGCGCGCGCGCCGACGCTCGCGCGAGACGCGCGCGATCCCGTCGCTTTTCCTAGGCAGGGCTACACGCCCATGTGGGTCTACCTCGAGGCCGACTCGGCGACGTGCAACACGGAGACCTTCGGCCAGGGCGACCCCGCGGGCGGCTACAGCAAGTGGTGCAGATGCGTCGGCGGCGAGCCGACGCTGCGCCCGTCGACGCAGGCGCCGTCGCACGTCCCGACGATTCTGGCGCCGACGGCCTCCGCCCCGCCGACGGTCTCGCCGCCGCCGTCGGGTCTGCCGACGACGGCGGCGCCGTCGGCGTTCAGCTTCTGGGACTGCGACTCGGACCCGAACTGCTGCGCCGAGCAGGGCGGGTCGTGCGCCTGCGACGGCGACTGGGCCTCGTACGGGACCAACGGCAACAGTTGGGCGGGCGCGCCGGACCCCATGTGGACCACGATGCACATCCTCGACCTCAAGGACGCGGACGGGGCCGTGGAATGCAGCACCGACTTCTTCGGCGGCGACCCGGCGGGGGGCTACGAGAAGTGGCGAGCCCCGGCGTCGCGTCCTTTCGAGCGACGTCGGCGGGGACGCGCGCCGCGCGCAGGTGCCGCTGCGCGGACGGCCAGCCGACGGCGCCGCCGACGCCGGCCTTCTCCTGCCTCTGCTTCGAGGACGACGGCGACGGGTGCACGGTCATCGGCGCGCCCGCGCCCGCGCCGACGTTCGCGTACTCGGCGGACGACTGCACGGCGGCCCAGGGCTACGCGCTCGACATCGTCACGCGCACCTGCAAGCCGGACGTCGCCGTCAAGGACCGCGGCTGCTACCCGCGGGCCAACTGCGACGCGGACTACGCGGCGCGCTTCTGCGACTCCATGACCTGCATCCCGCAGGGCTTCGAGCAGGAGTGCACGGGCGCGGCCCGGCGCCCCGAGTTTCGAGAGACTCCGACGGAACGCCCCGCGGCTCCGACGAGTCTCGAGAGAGTTCGGCCGGGAACCCGATCGACGCGCGGTAGGCATGGCCTCGTTCTCCGGCCACGGCCCCCGGCCCCAGCTCTACCGCTCCGACATGTGGGACACGTCCAACTCCGTCGGGGGGCAGTCGGACCAATATGCGGACCTGGCGCAGACGACGCGCGAGTACTACGGCCTCACGATGTACACGCGTATCTTACGGGTCATGGAGAAGGACATCGGCGAGCCCGTGTCGAGCACCGCGTCGGACATGGCCCAGTTCGGCTACCTGGGTCAGTGGGTCGCGCCCTTGGCGCGGACGAAGTTCGACATCGCCGGGGGCTCGCACGCGACGGCCATGGCGTCCATCGAGGGCGGCGTCTACAACAACAACAACCTCGGTTACAGCCGCCTCCCCAAGTATTTGGCCGGCGGATCCCTCTACGCCTACACGCCCGTCTCCGACGTCGGCCGCGGCTGGGGCTTCCAGGAGATGGGCATCGCCTGCAAGCGCGGCTCCGGCGTGTTTTTTTTGGGGGGGTCGTTTTGTTTCCGCTGTCGCGCCTGCCGCACGATGATCACGGTCCCTCTACGCGCAGGTACCTGGGCCTCGTCACCATGGCGAACCGGGTCATCGTCCCCGTGTCGGGCTACGGCTTCGAGGCGACGCAGGACGAGCACGAGGACGACGGCGGCGTCTTCCTCGGCGCGGGCTGGGTCGTACTCCCCATCTTTCCCGGAGGCAAGATCCGCAACCGGACGACGCTCTTCGGCAACGAGGACTTTGGGCTGACGACGTGGACCCACGTCATCGACACGGCGCAGTTCAGCGGGCCGCTCCTCGCCTACGCGCCGCAGTTCTGGATGCGGCGCCTCGAGGAGTGGTGCAATCAGAACGAGGCCTACTACGCGGGCGAATACGACTACTCCTACCCCGGCGACACCTGCCCGCGCGAGTTCTACGAGTACGAGCCGGACGCGTGCTGCGTGAACCCGTCGGTCTACGACTCGTTCGCCTACCGCGGCGCGGACTGGTGGCCGTCGACGGGCGGCGAGTTCCCGGGCCTCGAGGGCATCTTCGAGGACTACACGGACAGCGGCGAGGATCTGCCGGACTCGTACGAGGGGCCGACCTACTGGAAGATCCCGCAGATCAACTACCCGAACTACACGGACTCGGAGCTGTGGCAGGCGAACGCGCGGACGTACAACGCGGACACGTACGACCGCTGGCTCGAGGTCTTCGCCTACGCCGGCGAGTCCGACGACGAGCTCGAGGCACTCTTCGCGAACTTCGACACGCGCTTCAACGGGTCCTACCACATGAACACCTACGGCGCCTACTTCGACCTGGGCCTCACGTCCCTGGTCTACGAGGACGCCATGTACATCGACATCGAGAACGGCGTGTCCTCGGACGAGTACTACGAGGATGTCGGCACCGGCGACGACCTCGACCCCGTCGAGACGAACATCTTCTACGAGTGGGAGGGCGCCGAGGACCGCCTCTGGACCCGCTACTACAAGACGACCTACACGCCGGGCCGCAAGGAGCGCTACGCCAACCAGCCGGGGGAGAACCAGACCTACTACGCCGCCGAGCCCATCGACGAGAGCGAGGCGCCGGAGAGCCTCCGGGACGCGGAGTACACGCTGCCGCTCTGGGGCCGCGCGAACTACGTCAACCACGAGCGCCAGGAGAACGCGACCTTCGACTACGACGACACGACAAACAAACGCGGCTGGAACGAGACGGATCACTGGTGCTGGGTGCGTCCCAGCGTCCCGTGGCATCGAGAGATGGGCACGACGCGAAACCGGAGATAATCGCGACGCGCAACCGGAGATGTTCGCGACGCGCGAAACCGTCGCGCCCGATAGGTCTGCACGGACTCGAGCGAGTGCGAGCTCGAGACGCGGACCCTCGTCCTCGAGTCGACGGCGACGCTCTACTACCGCTGGTACCGCTGGCGCGACCAGCCGGCCATGAAGCAGCTCGCGTACGAGTATCCCGAGGTCTACACCGAAGAGATCCTCGCGTCCATGCAGAAGCGCGTCGAGCTCATGCACGAGTACTGGCAGGAGAAGGACTTCATCAAGAAGGCCACCAAGGTCAACCACAAGGTCGAGCTCGACTACCGCATGATAATCGACATCCCCGACAACATCCCCGACTATGGCTGGGTCCCCATCTCGCTCGCGGAGATCTACGAGGACAGCACCGGCTACGGACCCGGGAACTCGGCCGGCTTCCAACCCAACATTTGGTGATCGCGCGCGACGACGACGTGGCGGCGGTCCGCGTGCTTTCCCTCCCGCGCTTCCTTTACGCATCGCACGACGACGGTCCGCATCGACGATGGCGGTCCGCGCGCTTCCGCTCCCGCACCGTCGCCGTGCTCGCGGACGCCGGCGTCGACGCCCACGCGCTCGTCGCCGCGGGCGTCGCCGCGACGCAGTGGTCCGAGGCCCGCTTCCCCTGAGCGCGTTTTTGCCCGCTTCCTCCCGCCCTCTTCCTGTGCATACGCGTGTGTCCCCATCTCGTGTGCGGGCCCCGGGCTCGGGAGGCGGGAGCGCGTTTTTTCCGCTTTCTCCCGCCCTCTTCCTGTGCATACGCGTGTGTCCCACTCTCGTGTGCGCGGGGAGGCTCGGGGACACTACTCACTTGCGAGCGAAGATCAGATTCGAAGATCTGCTCCACAAGCGCGGAGCGAAAGGTGCCGAATTCAAGCCTGCTATTTCAGCGGCTCTTCGCCGGGCAGCACAGCGCAATGGCTTCGCCGCGATGCGCGATCATCGTCGCGTTCGCGGCGGCGGTCTCGGCGCAGACGGAGCTGTTGAATTTGGACCTCACGGTCGACGGCCAGGGGACGAAGCTGCTCCTCCTCGAGGGCCAATCGTACCTCGACGCCGCCCGGCGCGCCTGCAGCCCCGTCTTCGAGCCCCTGGCCATCGACAACTGCGTCGGCGGCGCGATGACGATCATCGTGGACCAGCACCTGCGGGCCAAGGAGGCCGAGGGGTCGACGCTCGCGAGCCCCGGCGTGTCCCTCGTGCGCGACGGGTCGGTGGAGAACTACGACCCCGTGTCCTGGGTGGGCGCGAGCCCGCTCCACGTCGACATCGAGCTGCCCGTGCGCACGCAGCGCACGGTCTGCGACAACGCCAAGTGCTGGGAGCTCGGCGACGACGACGGCGTGCCCGTCGCGAACCACACGCTCCAGGTGCCCGCGTGGACCGCGAACACGTCGCAGGCCGCGCGCGAGGTCGCCGCGGCGCTCGACCTCTGGCGCGAGGCGGACCTGGCGCTCATCGAGCACCGCGTGGCGCTGGAGCGGACGCGCAAGTCGACGCCCGTCGACGCGCGGCTCCACCGGGCCGTCGGCGACGCGCCCGTCGTCTCCTTCGACGGCTTCTACCCGGTCTACTTCGTGCTCCACACGTCGAACCTCTTCTTCGACGCGCAGCGCGTCAAGGTGTCCGGGGCCTTTCGGCCGCCGACGGACGGCGACGTGTGCATCTCCGTGCACTCCAGCGGCAAGGAGGGCGCGAACGGCGACGCGGACGCCGCGGGCGCGTCCGTCGTCACCGGCGATTTGGCGTCGCGGCCCAAGCCCGCCGAGGCCTGCTTCGACACGTCCTACAACGCGCAGCTGAGCGGCTTCGCCGACGCCCAGGGGTCCCACCGCCTCGAGGTGCGGCTCCGGCGCCGGGCCACGGACGCGACCGTCGGCGAGGGCGACGCGTCGACGTTCGTCGCCGCGCCGCAGCTCCAGCCGAAGACGCCCCTCAACACGCCGGCGGGCCGCTTCATCAAATTGTTGCGGGACGCCGTCGTCGGCTGGCTCTACCTCGACGGCGTCGACGCGGACGACGGCCCGGGCGTCGCGGGGCCGCTGTCGCCGAACTGGGTCGGCCACACGATGGTCGGCGTGCACAAGCTCGACTGGCTCCAGGCCATGATCGAGGGTTTGGTCGAGGACGGCGTGCCCGGCGACATCGTCGAGTGCGGCGCCTGGCGCGGCGGCGCGTCCATCTTCTCCAAGGGCGTCGTCGACGTGTTGGACCCGACGGGCGGCCGGAAGATCTTCGTCGCGGACACGTTCGTCGGCTTCCCCCAGGCCGACATCGAGAACGACGGCGTCGACACGAACGGCTGGGCCTACCAGAACTTCCACGTCGGCGGCGCCGACGCGGTCGTCGCCACGTTCAAGCGCTACGGCGTCTTCGACGACAAGGTCGTCATCGCCGGCGGCCTCTTCAACGAGACGCTGCCCATCCTCCCGACGACGCAGATCGCGCTGTTGCGCATGGACTGCGACATGTACCGGTCGACGACCCAGGCCCTGGACCTCCTCTACGACAAGGTCACGGTCGGCGGCATCGTCGTCCACAACAACTGGCAGTACACGTCCGCGCGCGCGGCCGTGATCGACTTCCGCCGGAACCGGAACATCGAGCACCTGCCCCTCCACCTCGTCGACGGCAACGCCATGGCCTGGATCAAGGAGTAGCGACGCAGCGAGGCACCGCGTTAAAAGAAGCGCTCTCGTGCGGCCGCCGGGAGCTCGAGACCCCCGGCCCGAGGATCAGCCAATAGAAAGCCGTCGCAGAGACATCCGGCGGCCATGGGGCTGCCCGCGCAGCGCCGGCTGTGGCTGGCCGTCGCTACTTTACTCGCACAACACACATACTCCCAGTTCGAGGCGCGGACGTCCATCTTCGTCGACGACACGGAGGTCGAGATCGTCGCCAACGCGGACCGCGACGACTTCGCCGCCGTCGGCCGCGACGTCTGCGCGAAGATGGGCGTGGACCTCGGCGCGACGCTGCGCGACGGGCGCATGCGCTGCGGCGCCTTGATCGCCGACGAGCTCGCGGACTCGCTCTACTGCAACGCGACGGCGCGGGGCGCCCTCGACGCCGCGCCCGCGAGTACCGGCCGCGCGCCGCGCGCGTTCCGCTTCTACCACGGCGAGTTCTACTTCGACAGCGAGGAGTACGAGCTGCTCCGCGAGCTGTTGTTGCGCCAGCGCTACGTCGAGTGCCTGAGCGGCGAGCGGCTCCGGGGCGGCGAGGACGTGATCTGGTTGCTGGGCCACTTCGACGGCGACGCGTGGTTCTACAAGGCGCTCGAGCCGCGCCAGACGTCGAACGCGCTGCCGCAGCCGACGGAGCTCGGCAACAAGGACTCGCTCTACCGCCACTTGCTGGCGCTGCGGGCCAAGGTCGGCGACCGCGCGACGCGGTTCCTGCCGCGGACGTGGCTGCCGGACGACGCGAAGGCGTCGCGGAACGGCGCGGCCGACGAGCTCGGCGGGCTCTGGCTGCGCAAGGACCCGGCCCAGGAGCTGGGCTTCGGCATCACGTTGATTACGAAGTGGTCCGAGCTCGAGGGCTGCGAGCACTGCCTCCTCCAGCGCTACGTCGCGCGGCCGTTTCTACTGACGGACGCGGCCGCGGGAGTGCTCGACGCGAAGTTCTCCTTCGGCGTCTACGTGACGGTGTCGAGCGTCGACCCGCTCGAGGTCTGGCTCCACCGCGAACTGCTCGTCTTGCTGGCGACCTACCCCTACGACGGCGTCGACGGCGACGACCACGGCGAGTCGGGCGACCTCCTGTCGCACCTGACGAACGGCCTCCTCAACCAGCGCCTCGCGGGCGACGACTTCGACGCCGCGGAGCGCGTCTGGACGACGGACCGGCTGCTGGCGCACCTGGACAAGCGGGGCGTGTCCTGGGCGTCCATCGAGGACCAGGTCCGGGAGGTCGCGTCGATGGTCTTCCTCGCGGGCCGCGGCGCCCTCGCGGCGGCGAAGCGGCGCGCGGCGTCGCGCGGCGCGCTCTTCTCCCACTGGCGCCTCGACTTCCTCCTCGACGAGGACGCGCGCGTCTGGCTCCTGGAGCTCGAGATCGTGCCGTCGACGGGCACCATCGGCGGCGTCGACGAGGTCATCAAGACGTCCGTGCTCCGCGACGTCCTCGCGCTCAACGGCGCGGAAACCGAATCTTCAACCCGACTTCAATGTGTGCGAATGAAACCGTCTCGACACAATTTGCTGCGCTTCGAGAGCTCGACGAGAGCCATCGATTCGTCCACAAATCAGCCGAATCGACTTCGATTTGACCGAGGTGGAGAATTTTGAAGTGACCCCCCAAACCAGCGATTGATCTCCACGCAGGCGCTCAACGGCGTCGGCGGCGCGCCGAGCCCGGACCGCGCGCACTACCCCTGGCTGCGCGGCGCCTGCTGGACCGACGAGGAGTCGCCGGGCCAGCCGCCGAACACGCTCTGCGCGCCGCCGGACGCGGCCGACGACCTCTTCGGCGACGGCGCGCTCGAATCCGCGGAGGCGGCCGTCCGCGCGCGCCTCGGCGCCGCGGGCGACGTCCTCGTCCACGACGACGCCGCCGTCGCGGCCATCGCCGCCTACGAGGCGCGCGGGCGCCGGCGGGGCGGCTACCGGCCGCTGCTGCCCGTGCCGCGGACGTTCGACTACTTCGACGGGTCGGTCGGGGCGAACGGCGACGACCTCCCGGACCTCTTCCGGCGCCATGGCGCGCTGCCCCTGGACGCCGCCCTCGACCGCTGGGCGAGCCTCTCCGGCGTCGACGACGAACCGGTGTCGGACTGGGCGGCCGCGGACGCGGAGGCCGCCGCGGCGGCGTGCCGCGCGTGCGCGCGAACGTCGCGCGTCTACTGCGCGACGGCGAGCGCCGTCGACGCCCGCGGCGTCGCCGAAATCGCGGGCCGCTGCCAGGCCGCCGCGGCGCCCTGCGAGCACGCGCCCCGGGGCCTCGTCGACGGCGTCCGCGTCGCGGACGCGTCGGCTTGCGGCTTCGACGAGCCTAACCGGCGCGCGCTTGCGGCGCTGCTCCGCGCGTCGCGCGTCGCCGACCTCCCCGGGAGCCGCGACGGCGTGCGCCGCTGGTGCGCGCGCGCCCTGCGGTCCGCGCGACCGACGGACGACCTCATCGCGCTCTGCCGGGGAACCGCGGGCGACGCGCGCGCGACGCTCGACGGCAAAGCCGAAACCCTCCCGGACGCGCTCCTCGCGCGGCGGCCCGCCGTGCTCCGGGCGAGCTTTGTACCGGACCCGGCCCTCGCGCCGGACGCGCTCGCGCACCTCGCGGACGAGCCCGTCGTCGCGATGGCGTACGACTCCCGCGCGGACGCCGCGCAGCGCATCTTCACGGCGCCGCTGGCTTTCGGCGATTTTCTCGCGGTCTCCCGGGACAAGCGCGACGTCGCCGCGAGCCTGCCCTACGGCCTCGACACGAGCCTCTACCTGCTCCTCACGGACCGGCGCCGCGTCGACGGCGCGGCCGCGGGCACGCTCGCGGACCCGAACGTGCTCGACGACCTCTCGCCCCTCCAGGGCCTCCTCGACAAAGCCGTCGCCGCGACGGCGCCGTTGGTCGACGCGGCGCCCCTGCCGCGCGCGTGGACGTCGCTGCGCTACGGCGCGGGCTACGCGTACCCGACGCACGTCGACTGCTACGAGAACGTCATCTTCCAGCTCGCGGGCCGCAAGAACGTGACGATCTTCCCGCCGGACGTCGTCTGGGACACGAAGCCCGACGTCGAGAACAAGCACTGGCCCCGGGGCGGCGACGACGACCTCCGGCGCGCGCGGCGGTCCGCGGTCAGCGTCGAGCTCGGCCCGGGCGACGCGCTCTACGTGCCCCTCATGTGGCCCCACAACGTCGACTCCGACGAGTTCTCCGTGACGGCCAACGCGTACCTGCGCCTGGGGGACGACGCCGACTGGGGCGACTACGTCGACCGGAGCAAGACCAACGCGTGGCTCGCCTACGAGATCGCCACGGGCACGCGGCTCTGCTAACGAGGTGTCTTATAAATCAATGGTGATCTGCGACGGCGGGGAAGCCAGGACATCGATGGGGGCGACGACGTACGTTTGGAAGTTCGCCGGATCGGTGGCGTCGACTTGACCGGACGAGTCGGAGAGCACGTCGACGTCCGCGGCGAGGACCAGCGGGAGGACCCATCCTCCGCACGCGCCCTCGTCGTCGTAATTGTGCCCGCTCGCGCTCTCGTCCATCGTTCGGTCTCCAACCGGGCTACAGCGACCCGCGAAGCCCGTGCCGCGCATCATCCAGCGCTTGGCGATCGTCGGCGGGTTCTCCCGGTGGTCCTCGATGGCGAAGGAGATCAGCCCGCGAGGGTTGCAGCCCATGACCGCGAAGGCCTCCAGCGGCCTCGCGACGCCGAAGCTCGTGCTTCGTAGGTCCACCATCGAAAGGCCGAACAAGGGGCCGCTCGCCCGCGCGGTCGCGAACGGAACATCGGTCACCTCCAACTCCCGCTCGCCGTTCCAATAGCTTTGAGTGATCGGGCCGCCGTCGGTCTCCGCGAACGTGAAATCATCCGTCTTCACCACGAGCGTCCAGGGGTCCAGGCGGACTTTTGTGAAGGCCGTGGAAACGTCAGTCCCGGCGCACGACCCGCCCGACGGCATCATCGAAAGGCTCTTGGGGACGCTCACAAACTCCGTCGGCCGCGCCGAGAGCGCGTTGTGCACGTAGAGCCGCATCGATGCATCGCCGCCGCGGTGGAAGAGCGTGTACTCGCCGTCGCCCGCGTCGGAGCCGTGAACGCCGAGGCGGATCGCGCGGGCGACGTCGCGCGCGCACGCGGGCCGCATCGCCCGCCGCAGCTCCGAGAGGTCGCGCCAGCCCTCGCACGTCGGCGCGATCGCCGCGAGCTCGTCCTGGGAAGCGTCGCGCGAGAGGAACGGGAGGAGCACCGTCAACGCCAGATCGCCGGAGACGGAGCCCACGAAGGCCGTCCCGTGCCCGCGCTCCAGCGCCGCGCGGAAGGCCAAGGTCGGCGCCGCCTCGGCAATCGCCTCGAGCAGAGGCTCTTGAGTCGCCGTGTGGGGTTGGGCCATCACTGCCGACGTCGGGACCGCTCTCCGGGACCGCTCTTGGTTTCTCTTCGAATCTTCAAGTTGCAGTGCAACAACCTCACAGCGACCAAAAAAAGGACATAAGTCGGCCGGTGGGCGCGCGCTCGACGGCGTGGGCGCCGGGGCTGCGGGCGGGCCGGCGGGGCGGGGGCGCAAAAAAGAGGAGGTCGTTCGGGTGGGGATATCGTTTTTCTTTTTTTCGTTTTCTGGGTGGGGTCCTTGGTCGGCGGCGCTCGGGGACCCCGGCGCGGCGACGGGCGGCTTCGTGCCCGCGCGACATGGCTGCCGGGGGAGCGGGTCGCCGGCGGCCTAGGCCGCGGCCTTGGCGTGCGCGGCGCGGTAGAGGAACGCGAGCGCGGCCGTCAGCGCGAGGCAGGCGGCGAAGACGAGCTTCTCGTGGGGCGCCGTGATCTTGTGGGAGATGTGGGAGACGCAGGTCTTGCCCGGGACGCAGTTGAGCCAGGGCAGGGGCTGGCCCGCGAGGCGCGAGTAGTGCGGCTCCTCGACGCGGAGGAAGTCCAAGATGTCGACCCAGGAGTGGCGCTTGTTGTCGAACTCGAGGAGGTTCTCCGGCGGCACGAGGGCGCGCACGTTGTTGTTGTGGCGCTCCATGGCGCCGTACCAGAGGTGGTCCGGCGACGTGTTGCCGTAGACCGCCAAATCCACGAGCGACCAGATGTCCATGAGCAGGGGCAGCTTCTCGAGGTCGTAGCCGCTGCCCGAGGCGTCGATCCAGCCGAGCTTGCGGAAGAGGGCGCCGAGGCCGAGGTGGCGCGTCGCGCGCGCGGCGAAGAGGCGGAAGACCTGGCGGCGCCAGTGGTAGAGGTGCGACGTCGCGATGTAGCTGCGGTAGGACTTGAGCCAGGGCTCGCGGGGCCGCGTGCCCAGGATGACCTTGGCGTCGGGGTACTCGCGGATGAGCTCCGGCAGGAGGTGCGCGAACCAGCAGTCCGCGACGGCGTCGACGCCCCGCGGCTCGATCAACTTCGTCACGTCGGGCCGCTCGACCTGGCCGCTGAGGTAGTAGTACCAGAAGTCGAGGTCGTGGGCCATGGTCTCGAGGGAGTGGTCCACGGTCAGGTTGAGCTCCATGAGCGCCGCCTGGATCGTCGACGTGCCCGTGCGGCTGAGGCCCGCGGCGAAGACGAGCGGCGTGCCGCCGCGGAAGACGGCCTCGTCCCGCGGGAACCGCAGGCGCACGCTCGCGTTCCAGGCGGACGCGTGCTCGCGCGGGCGCTCCCAGTCCTCGGGGCGCGTGGGCAGGGCGGCCGCGTCGTCCCGCGTCGGCGGGCGCGCGAGCGCGCAAAAGACGCCGAGGAGCCCCGCGAAGAAGGGCGCCCAGGGCGTGCGGCGGCGCCGGAGGCGCAGGGCGCTCCGGCGGGGGGCGGGGGGCGGCTTTTTGCGCCTCCGGCGGGGGGCGGGGGGCGGCGGCGCCCCGGCCTCGGGGCGGGGCGCCCGCCCCGCCGCGTCCGTTTTCTCGACGGCGCACGACAGCAGATGCATCTTGGAAAAAGCTTGGGGCTCCCCGGTGGAGCCGATCGAAACCCGGCGGGGTCTCACAGAGCTGCGACGCCGAGGCGTCCTCGAGAACCCATGCGCGAGCGTCCGTCGCCCCGTCCTCGGCCGTGTCCGCCGGATGCGTTCTTCAGATGGTACATCATGTTCTCTATCTCGCGTAAATTCATGGTCCCGTGCGGGATGATGATGGGGGGTCCGGAGCCCGGGTCGTTCATCGCGGGGTCGCGGTACTCGGGGGTGCGGGCGGGCGAAATTGTGGTCTGGGCGACAAGGATTGGCAGCCGATGTCCCGGGAGCTGGCGACGCCAGTGGCGTGGAGCGACGCGAGATGCATTAGAGATATATCGTCACGTGGCTCTTCAAGGTTTTATAAACCGAAACTTATTGCGCGGCGCACCTACTCGACACTACTGACCTTGCCTTGGATGAGTGCCGTCGGTATAGCGCTATCGATTTGGGCTGCCGCGCCGCTGCCGGTGTCGACCGGGGCGGCTCGAGGCTCCCCGATCATGGGGCAGGCGGCGTCGACGCTGGCGCCGGCCTTTGCCGACGTGTCGCTCCTCGACGTGCGCAAGGCGGTGACGGTCCACCAGAAGCGGCTCAACGGCGCGGCCCTCCTGACGGCGCGGCAGGCGCAGCAGCTCCTGCGCCCCCGGGGCTCGACGAGCGACAAGGCGGCCCTCGAGGCCGCCGTGCGCGACACCTTTTGCGGCGAGGTCCGGCAGGACGGCCGGGCCGTGGACCGCGTCGTCGGCGCGGCGGTGCTCGGCGCGCTCGTCTGCGCCGCGGGCGGCGCGGGGGACCTGCCGGGCGCCGGCGCCGCGTCGCCCGTCGCCGCGCGCGCCGCGGCGTTCTTCCACCTCCTGGCGAACGGGGCGCGCACGGTGGCGCCCGCGGCCGTCGCCGCGCTCCTCGACCGCGTGTCGACGGGCCTCGCGAGGCTGTCCGGCGCGCCGCGGTTGGCCGCGCCGGACGGCCACTTCGCCGCGGTCGTCGCCGGCTTCATCGGGAGCGACCCCGCCGACGGCGCGACCTTCGTGGCCAACGCGCGGCGGCTCCTCGACGGCGCGCCGCCGGAGCGCTTCGCGGAGCTCATGCTGCTCCGCGCGCCCGCGGCGCCCCTGGGCACGAGCCTCGGCGACCCGGTGCACATCACGCCGCGCACGGGGGGTTTGGAGGTGGCGCCGGAGGACCGCGCCTACGACACGGCCGCGGACTACGCCAAGGCGATGGCGTCCGCGCCCGCGCCGGCGCCGGGCCCCGAGGACGACGGCGCCTCCGAGGCGGCCGCCCGCGTCGACGCGGCCCGCGAGGCGGCGGCCGTCGAAGCGGCGGCCCTCGAGGCCGAGGCGGCCCGCGTCGAGGCCGAGGCGTCGCGCGTCGAGGCCGCGCGCGTCGAGGCCGCGGCGGCCGAGGCCGCGGCCGCGCGGCGCCGCGAGGCCGAGGTGTTGGCGGCCAAGGCCAAGGCCGAGGAGGAGGCGGCGAAGCTCGCCGCCGCGGAGCAGGAGAAGCGGGCGGCCGAGGCCAAGGCCGAGGCCGCCGCGGCCGCGAAGGCGGACGCGGAGTCCAAGGCCGCCGAGGCCGCCGAGGCCAAGGCCGCCGCGGAGGCCGAGGCCGAGGAGAAGCGCGTCGCTTTAGAAGCGCAGCAGCAGAAGCTCGCGGACCTCGAGGCCGCCGGCGACGAGGCCGCCGTCGAGGCCGCGCGCGCGGAGCTCGAGCGGGAGCGCGAGGCCGTCGCGGCCGCGGAGTCGCGCGCGCGCGAGGCCCAGGCCGCGGAGCGGGCCGAGGCCGCGCGCGTCGAGGAGGCCCGGGCCACCGCCGAGGCCGAGGCGGCCAAGGTCCTCGAGGCCGAGGCCGCGGCCGCGCGCGAGGCCGAGGCCGTCCGCGCCGCCGAGGCCGAGCTCGAGGCCGAGGAGGCGCGCCGCGCCGACGCCGACGCCGAGGCCGCGCGCGCGGCGGAGCAGCGCGACGCCGAGGCCGCCGCGGTTCAGAAGCAGGCCCTCGAGCGCGCCGAGGACGCGCGGCGCCGCGCGGCCGCCGCCGCGCCCGCGGCCGCGGCCGCCGCGCCGCCGGACCCGGAGAAGCTCCGCAAGGCCGAGCGCAAGGCCGCGAAGAAGCGCGCCCGCGCGGCGCGCGACGACGCCGCGGCGGCGCGCGCGGAGCTCGACGCGCTCGCGGACGACGGCTCGCCCGAGGCCGCCGCGCGGCGCGCGGAGCTCGACGCGCGCGTCGCCGCGGGCGAGCGCGCCGCGGGCGAGTTCGCCGCGCTCTACGCGCCGGCGCCCGCGCCGGCGGGCGCGCGGCCCCGGTCGCGGCCCGGGTCCGCGACGGGCGGCGGCTCGCGGCCCGGGTCCGCGACGGGCTCGCGGTCGCGGCCCGGGTCGCGGCCCGGGTCGGCGACGCGGCGCGACGAGGTCGGCGAGGGCCCCGCCGGGTCGCGGCCGAGCTCCGCGGGGTCGCGGCCGACGTCCGCCGGCGGCGGGCGCGTCATTGCGTTCGGCGGCGGCCGCGTCCGCGGCATCTCCATCGACGAGACCGACGAGGACGAGCGCGAGAAGTTCGCCGAGGAGGTGCAGCGCGAGGTCGAGAAGAAGGCCCACGAGCGCCATTTGGCGGAAGCGCGCGCGGCGCTCGACGCGTCCGACGAGAGCGGCGACGAGCTGCTGACGGAGGTCGAGGTCGAGGCGTCGGCCTTCGACGGGTCCGCCGTCGCGGCGAAGAAGGCGGAGATCGAGGCGAAGCGCGAGGCGAAGCGGCTCGCCGCGGAGGAGAGGAAGAAAGAGAAGGCCGCGGCGCTCGAGGAGCGGCGCCTCGCCGCGGACGCGCGCGCGAGGCGCGAGGCCGAGGAGATGGCGGCTCTCGAGGCCGCCGCCGCCGAGGAGGAGGAGGAGGAGGAAGATGACGAGGACGAGCCGGAGCCGGAGCTCGTCGCGGAGGACGGCGTCGACCTGGAGGCGAGGCGCGCGGAGCTCGCGGCCGCCAAGGAGGCGAAGCGGGAGGCGAAGCGCGCCGCTTTGGAGGAGAAGAAGCGGGCCAAGGCCGCGGCCCTCGAGGAGCGCAAGGCCGCGGCCGCGGCCCGGAAGCAGCGCGAGGCCGACGAGCTGGCGGCGCTCGAGGCCGCGGACGACGACGACGACGACGAGCCCGAGGCCGACGAGCCGGACGACGAGCCGGACGACGACGACGGCGGCGCGGACCTCGCCGCGAAGCGCGCGGAGATGGCGGCGAAGAAGGAGGAGAAGCAGCGGGCCAAGGCCGCGGCCGCGGAGGAGAAGCGCGGGGCCCGGGAGGCCAAGGCCGAGGCCGCGCGGCTCAAGAAGGAGGCCAAGGCCAAGGCGCTCGCGGACCTCGAGGCCGAGGACGACGACGAGGAAGAGCAGGAGGAGCCCGAGGAGGACGACGACGAGGAGGCCGACGGCGGCGACGACGACGTCGCCGCGCTCAAGGCCGAGAAGGCCGCGAAGAAGGAGGCGAAGCGCGCGGCCGCCGAGGCGAAGAAGCGGGCCAAGGCCGACAAGGCCGAGGCCCTGCGCCTCAAGAAGGAGGCCAAGGCCAAGGCGCTCGCGGACGCGCGCGCCGCGAGCGACGAGGAGGAGGAGGAAGATGAGCCCGAGGAGGAGGAAGAGGAGGAGGAGGCCGACGACTCCGCGGAGCTCGAGGCCCTCGCGGCCGACAAGCGGCGCAAGAAGGAGGCCAAGGCCGCGAAGAAGCGCGCCGCGGCCGAGAAGAAGGCGCGCGCCGCGGCGGCGAAGAAGGCGCTGGCGGCCCAGGCCGCCGCGGAGTCGTCCGAGGAGGAGGAGGAGGAGGAAGAGGAGGAGGAGGAGGTCGTCGTCGTCGCGAAGTCGCCGAAGAAGAAGAAGAAGGTCGTCAAGAAGGTCGTGAAGAAGCGCGTCGTCGAGGCGGAGGAGTCGTCCGAGGAGGAGGAGGTCGTCGTCGTCGAGGAGGAGGAGGTCGTGAAGAAGCCCAAGAAGCCGAAGAAGTTCTCGCCCGCGCCGAACTTCGCGAAGAAGGCGCCGCGGCCCCAGGAGAGCAGCGAGGAGGAGGACGACGAGGAGTACTTCGAGGAGGCCAAGGTCGCGGAGAAGCCCAAGAAGCCCAAGAAGTTCTGGGAGAAGCCGTCCGACGACGACGGCGAGGAGGAGGAGGACGATGAGGACAGACCGCGGCGGTCCAAGCCCAAGCCGAAGAAGTCGCCGCGCGCGGCCGTCGCCGCGGCCGACGACGACTACGTCGACGAGGACTACGGCGGCGAGTCGGGCGCGCTCGCGCGGCGCCGGCGGGACGAGGCCAAGCGCATGGCCGCGGACCGCGGCGAGGACTCGTTCCTCGACTCGCCGGAGCGGGGCCGCACGCTCAAGCGCGGCGACAAGGTGCCCCCGGGCGTCGACGAGATGGTCTCCGACAGCGAGCCCATGCTGCCCGACACGACGCTCGGCCGGCCCCGGTCCGTGCCGGGCGAGGCGCGGCCCGACCGCGCGCGCGCGCAGTCGCCCATGATCGACAGCGACCCGGAGCTGCCGAGCCGCCACGGCCTGCCGCGGCGCGTGCCCTACCCGGAGCAGGACATGCCCATCCTGTCCACGCGGTCCCCGTCGAAGTCGCCCGAGCGGCCCGGCCCCGCGTCGACGAAAAAGGCCGTCATGCAGCACGTCGAGGAGGCGCGCCACGCCCACGACCGCGCGGCGGAGACGGCCCACCGGACCATGCGCGAGACGGGCGGCGGCGCGTCCGCCGTCGGCGACTGCCGCCGCGACATCGAGGCGCACCTGACGGAGGCGCGCGACGCGGCGATGCGCGCGGCGGACGTCGCCAAGCAGGCGTCCAACTCCGCCGCGGTGCTGGCCAAGGAGGTGTCCTTCCTCGGCGACGCCGTCCAGGCGTCCCAGGAGCGCGCGCCCCAGATGATCGCGCTGGACCGCCTGATCCCGTCCATCGCGCCGCGCGCGCGGCCCGAGATGGCGACGCCCGAGTCCGCGCTCGGCTCCGAGCAGTTCGGCTCCCAGAAGACGTCCACGAAGCCCATCGACCGCTTCCCGCGCGAGCCGTCGCCGGACCGCGACTACGAGACCGCGCGGCGCGACGAGCCGGCGACGACGGGCGGCTACTTCGGCCGGCCCGGGAGCCGCGACGGCTACGACCGGCCGTCGAGCCCCTACGACGAGGCGCCGCCCATGGCGACGACGGGCGGCTACTTCGGCAACCGGCCCGAGAGCCGCGACGGCTCGCGGCCCGAGAGCCCGGCCTTCGAGGGCTACTCGGCGTCGCCGCCGCCCTCTCGCGACGGCCGCGACTACGACCACCGGGCCGTGGACCTCGAGCCCCAGCAGGAGCACGGCTACTTCGGGGGCGGCGGCGGCTTCGGCGGCGGCGGCTTCGGGCGGCCGCCGCCGCGGTCGGACACGATGGTCACGCAGGCCGGCGACGACGTCGACGACGACCTCGGCGACGACAAGGACTACGACCCCGAGGCCGACGACTACGAGATGGACGAAGATAGCGACGAGGAGCGCAAGCTCAAGGACGAGCACTACGGCGCGCGGCCCGAGAGCCCCCTGGTCGACGAGCCGTTGGACCGCTTCGCGATGGGGCGTTCGTCCTTCGCGGCCGGCGGCTTCTCCTCCGGCTTCGCGGCGCGGCCCTGGGAAAACCAGCCGCCGCGCGACGCCGACTCGCCGCCCGTGCTCCGGGACACGGCGAGCCCGCCGCCGGGCGGCCGGCCCTACTCGCCCGCGTCGTCGCCGGAGCCGCCGCTCACGGCGAAGGCCTTGGCGCTGGACGACCTGCCGCGGCCCGGGGGCAAGAGCGCCATGTACCGCGACGCCTACGAGTCGGGCACGGAGGACCCGCGCACGGACTGCGAGCACACGGAGGTGCCGAGCGACGACGACGACGGCGCGTCGTCGCGCGGCGCGAGCCGCGGCGCGCCGCCGCGCGGCGCGCCGCCGCGCCTGTCCATCGACGAGCGGCGCCGCCGGTCCAAGTCCGGCGAGGACGACTACGCGTCGGCCCTGGGCCAGTGGAGCAGCGGCAACGACCAGCACGGCTACGAGGAGGGCTCGCCGGGCGGGTCGAGCTACTCGTACGAGCGGCCGGGCCGCTTCGGCGCCTACGGCGAGGAGAAGCGGCCCGAGAGCCGCGACGAGCCCCGGAACCACTACTTTGGCCGCGGCGGCTTCGACGAGCCGCGGCCGCCGACGCCGACGCCGCCCGCGGGCGGCGAGCGGTCGCCCGTGCACCCCGGCCGCGGCGGCGCGGTCACGGCCGACGGCGGCCACCTCACGGGCTTCGACCGCGCGGCCAGCGGCACGCCGCCGACGAAGCTGAACGTGCGCGCCTGGACGACGTCCGACGCCGTGGTGCTCCAGGACGTGCCGTCGGTGCTCGTCGTCGGCTTCAGCGACGGCGTCGATTTCACGCTCCAGACGAACGTGACCGCGGCGGCCGTCGCGCTGGAGATCATGTCGTCGCCGGACTACCTCGGCGCCCAGGTCGTCTTCTGGGACGGCGCGCCGTTGGCCCACGACTCCTTCACGAGCGTGCTGCCGGCGCTCGCCGCGCGGGGCTGCCGCCTCGCGGCGTGGCGCGACGCGACGGACGACTCGCAGAAGGCGCGGCTCTGCGACTCCTGGGCGGGCGTCGACGCCGCCGAGGCCGTCGTCGCGCTCTTCGACGACCAGTCGCCGCGCGCCGCGGGCGCCGTCGGCGGCTTCGACGCGCCCGACGACGTCGCGCCCGCCGCGCGCAACAACCTGCGGCTCCTGTCCTTCACGAACGTGAAATCCGTGGTCTGCTTCGGCGGCGGCAAGGACGTGCTCGACATGGTCGCCCACGCGCCCAAGGACGTGTCCTTCCACGTCGTGCCCGCGGTCCGCTGCGCGGACAACGGCGCGGACGGCCAGTTCGGCACCGACGACGACCTCTTCGAGGACGCCCACATCCTCGCCTACGACGGCGCGAACGCGGACCGCGTCCACGTCTACCAGCTCTACGGGTAGAGATGAGAGGCGTGTTAAGTGGATCTGCTTTGAGTCATCGCGCGTTCATGCGCGCGAGGGCCTCTCTCCCCTGATCCCGGCCTTTGTAGCCGGAAGCGCTAGGGCGAACCGCGGCCGCACGGGAGTACCAGTGTCTGGCTTTGTCGAGATCGGCATCCCTGAATAGTAAAGCAACTCCTGGGATATCAGCGGGCATCTCATAGACCCTGCCCAACATAACCATGGCAGTCGCGAATCCTTGCTCCGCCGAAAGCTGGAAGAAGTGAATAGCTTCCTCCGCCGCCGCCGCGGTTCCCTCATTAATCAGGTGCACCGCGAGATTGCTCTGCGCCACCGCGTCGTTTCGGGTCGCTGCCATACGATACAGCTGCATCGCCTTCCTATTGTCAACCTTGACACCCGCGCCTTTTTCGTAAGCATACCCAAGCGCATTCATCGCGCGCACGTTTCCAAGCTCCACGGCGCGACGGTAGAGCTTCACGGACTTCTTCCAATTTTTCGGCAAGCCAATATAACCGTCACGATACCAATCCCCTAAGGTAACGATTGCTTCGGGCACCTCGTTATTCACGTGGCGACGAGTATGTGCCAGTTGCTCCGCATCTGTTTTAGGCACGGGCAGTCGACAGAGAGGACAATCCTTGCCCGCAATCTTTTTCGCGCACGACTCGCAGACTTGCCGACAGCAACAAGAGACAAGCAGAGGTAGACAATTCACGTCCCATTCGTCGAGGCAGATCGGGCACCGTCCCCCGAAGCGCTCCGACGTCGGCTTCGGCTCCGGGTTCGCCTCGCGCCGCGCGCGGGCCGCCTCGTGTTCGGCCGCGATGCGCGCGCGGACCTCGTCGGCGTGCGACCGCGGCGCGGGGCCGTAGACGACCTCCTCCGGCGGGGGCGGCGGCGCCTCGGCCCGCGCCGCCTCCGCGGCTCGCTCGTTTCGGATCTTCTTGCACGCCTTCCGGTGGCCGCGATCGCGCCAATCGATGCGTTGACAGTCCGTCGAACAGTACTGCGTAGTCCCACAAGGACAATTCAACAACGTCTTCGGTCGTGCCCCGCAAATTGTGCACGTGAGGCGGAGCTTCAGCGCTTTCGCCCGGGCTTTTCGCTCCTCGTATTCTAGTTTCTTTGCGGCGAGAGCGGGGTCCATCGCGGGGGGCTTGGTCATCTTGTATGCGAGCTGTTGAGCGGTGGGGTGCTTTTGGCGGAAGATTGGGCGGCGGGCGGGGCGCGTCGTCGGCGTCGGGCTTGGCGTCGTCCAGGAGCGGCTTGCCACTTCGACCCGATGAATCGCCAGAATCGCCATTACAGATGATACCCCCTACGACATCCTAGGCGACGGGCCGGACGAGGTGCAAGGTCAGCGGCCGCTTCGAGGCCTTGATGAGCGCGAGGGCCTTCTCGAAGTCCGGCGCGTCCGCGCCCGAGCAGCACAGATCGTAGTCGCGGCGGAGCTGCTTGTCCGAGAGGACCGCGTAGGCGCGCGTGACCTCGACGAAGAGGGCCTTGTGGCCGCCGGCCTTGTCCGGGTGCGTCTTGAGCGACGTGCGCTTGTAGGCCCGGCGGATGGCCGCGCGGTCCGCGTCGGGCCCGACGCCGAGGACACCGTAGTAGTCCGCGTCGTTCGTCCGCCGGCCGTTGAGCACGCTGACACCGTTGACGCCGACGAGGCGGCTGCCGACCGCGACGCCGGCGTTCGCGCTGAGGCCGCCGGGCCGCGCGGCGACGACGACGATGACGTTCTTGCCGTAGACCGTGTGCTGCTCGAGCCGGAGGCTCAGCGGGCCCTCGGCGGCGATCGTCGCGTCGTACGTCACATCCTCCCGCGGCGTCGGCGGCTTGGCCTCGGGCGTCGCCGGCTTGGACTCGGGCGTCGACGGCTCCGCCGCGGGCGGCGCGTTTTCCTTGCGTTCGGCGGCGGGCTCCTCGACGGGCGCGGGCGCCTCGACGGGCGCGGGCGCCTGGACCGCGGGCTCCTCGACGGGCACCGGCTCCTCGGCCGCGGCGGGCTCCGCGACGGGCTCCTCGGGCGGCGGCAGGACGCCGTCGCAGCAGTCGAACGACTCGCGCGACTCCGAGCGGTCGAACGCCGGTTCGCGCGGCGCCGGCGGCGCGCGGACGGGCTCCGGAGGCGGCGCTTCGGCGGGCTCCGGAGGCGGCGCCTCGGCGGGCTCCGGGCGGGCGAGCTCCGGCGACGGCTCGCGGGGCCGCGCCTCCGCGTCGCCGCCGCGGCCGCCGACGCGCGGCGACTGGGGGCTCGTCGCCTCGTCGGAGAAGGTGAAGGAGAGGACCGGCTTCTCGACGAGCGCCGCCTTGGGCGGCGCGGCCTCCGCCGCGTCGCCGCCGCGGGCCCAGAGGCCCTTGAAGAAGGCGACCGCGCGCGACTCCTCGGCCGGCGGCTTCTCCGGGAGGTCGAGGGCCCCGTCGCTCCGCGCCGCGCTCAGGGCCTCCTCGAGGGCCGCGCGGCTCCGGTCCGGCGACGGCGGGCGCGCGTCGACGGCGGCGGAGAGCGCGCGCGACGCCTTCTCCGCGTGCGCGAGCCGCGCCTCGGCGACGCGGCGCACGGTGTCGGCCTCGGCGCCCTCGAGCGCGCCGTCGAAGGCGACGACGGCGGCGCGGAGGTGGTCCGTCGCGCGGTCTAGGGCGTGGAGGCTCCGCATGAACGACGACGCCGTCGCCGCGACCTCCTCGGCCAGGGCGGCGCCGGCGTCCCTGCGCTTCGCGGCCATGGCGTCGACGCGCCGGAAGAGCGCGAAGCAGGCCTCGTGCTCCTTGGCGAGCGCGGCCCGCTTGTCGACGAGCGCCGCGACCTCGGCGGCCTCGGCCTCGAGGCGCGCGAGCGGCGCGTCCGCGCCCGCGACGAGGCGGCCGAGCGACCCGTGGGCGTCCGCGCACATGAGCGCCATCTCCGTGGCGTCGGGGCCCCGGGGCCAGCCCGCGGCGTCCTCCATGGCCCCGCAGGCCACGGCCGTCAGCGACTCCTGGAGCGCGTCCGCCGCCGACGCGACGGCGCGGAGCCGCGTTCGTAGGGTCTCGAGGTTGCGCCGCCCGCGGCCGAAGAGCTCGACGAGCTCGGCGCAGTCGACGTCGTCGGACGCGTCGTCCGAGTCCGTCGGATCCATCGTCGTGTTTTTTCACGCGGCGACGCGAGTTTGACGTGGATTCCGGGGCGAGGCGCCGACGATGAAGCTCGACGAGCCCGCGGCGGTCCCGGAGGCGCGACGGCGCGAGGATTTGCCTCGACGCGTCTCTAAACGTAGGGGGCCCGGGAGGAACCGCGGGAGTCGGAGGATTTGCCGGCGGCGGCTCCACAAAATTTTTGCAAAACCCGTCGGCGAGCGGTCGATGGTGAAGTCAGTGCGCCGATTACGTCGCGCGCGCTCCATCGGGAGCCGCCGTTCGGATGGTGAACGCAGCCCACTAGCAGGATGAGCAAGGTCGCGCCGTCGTCGTCCGCGGAAGGGCCGGAGCAGATCACCTTCGCGGAGGACGGCAGCAGCAAAAAGAAGAGCGGCGTGCGGCGGCCGGTCTTCGCGGAGCTGCTCTCCTGCGAGGCCGAGGCGACACCGAAGCCGGGCCGCGTGCACCTGCTCGTGAACCCCTTCTCGGGCCGCAAGCGCGGCAAGAAGGTCGGCGCCGCCGCGCGGAAGCTGCTGGAGGCCGCCGGCGTCGAGGTCGAGCTGCATCCGTCCGAGCGCGCGGGACACCTCGTCGAGCTTTCGAAAGCTCTGGAGCTGCGACCGACGGACGCCTTGGCCGTCGTCGGCGGCGACGGCACGCTGAGCGAGGTGATCACGGGCCGCATGCGCGCGGGCGGCGACCTGCCGCGCGTCGGCGTCATCCCCGCGGGGACCGGCAACGCGCAAGCCACGGAGCTGGGCATCTTGAACGTCGAAGAGGCCGTCAGGCGCATCGTCGCGGGCCGCGTGATTCGCATCGACCTCGCCGAGGTCGACCTGCGGAGCGGCACGGCGAAGCGGCCCGGCGATGCGCTCCGGTGGTACTCGCACAACCTCGTGACCTGGGGTCTGGGCGTCGACTCGGTGGTCTTGGCGGAGCGCATGCGCTGGTTGGGTCCGGCGCGCTACGACGTCGGCATCGTGATTAAAATTTTGGCCAACGTGAGAAGACGCGCGACGCTGACCGTCGACGGCCACGCCATGGAGGACGACTACACGCTGTTCTTGATCCAGAACACGCAAACCGGCGGCGCGGGCCTGCGCCTCGCGCCGGGCGCGTCCCTCGACGACGGCGTCATGGATTTGGGGATCTTGCGGCGCATGAAGACGGGCGCGCTCATCAACGCCTTCGGCATGCTCAAGCAGGAGGGGCGCCACGTCTTCCACCCGAGCGTCGGGTCGCACCGGTTCAAGGAGCTCGCCATCGACACGCCCGCGCCCACGGCCATCAACATCGACGGCGAGCTCGCGGGCGTCACGCCCCTGAAGATGCGCGTCCTCGAGCGCGTCCTCCCGCTCTTCGCGGCGTAACGGCGCGAGGTTGAATGTACGGAGGGGCTCGCGGCGCCGGCGCGTGGTCGATGTTAGATTTACTCGGGCCGCCGGCGACTCCGGCACCGCCGTCACCCGGCGACGTGGCGGCCGACGAAGCCGAGGGTCACGTAGGTCACCGTCACGGGGATGGACAGGACCCAGAAGCCCGCGGGGCCGAGGGCCTTCTCGAGCTCGTCGGAGATGGGGTAGAGCCAGAGGCCCGTGAGCTTCTTGTTGAGGAGCGTGCCGAGGAGGTAGAAGGCCGCGAAGCCGCCGACGAGGACGACGACGTCGCCGCCCGTCGACTCGCCGGCGTGGCCGCCGTAGCGCGCGTCGAGCAGTGCGAGCGGCAGCGCGAGGCCGTGCTCGACGTGGCACGCGACGGGGATCCAGACGAAGCCGCGCGCGACCCAGAGCCGGTCCTCGGCTCGCTTCGCGGCGACGAAGTGGTCGAGGCCGTAGTAGAGCAGCGTCAGCCCGACGCCGAGCGCGAAGGCCAGCGGGTAGGCGCGCCTCGCGAGGGCGTGCGCCGGCGCGGCGAAGCGCAGCGCGTGGTAGCAGACGAGGATGGCGTTGGATTGATTCGTGAGGAAGGTCCAGCGGCCGAAGACGCGCGTCTTCTGCGGCGACCGCAGCCAGCAGGGCGGCATGAAGAGGTGGCCGGCGAAGCCGACGGCGTTGCCGACGGCGCAGATGAGGCTGATCAGGGCGGGGCTCATCGTCGCGACGCGCTGCGCTTGTATAGGGGCCTCGGCACTGGTTTGGGCAGAGGCAAATGGCGAGCGGGTCGACAGAGCACATCACCTTGCACCTCTGAGAACGCTCGGAAGTAAGATGGTCGGCGCTTCGGGCTGCTCCCTCGCTGCGGCGCTGCTCATCGCCGGCGCCCGCGCGACGCCGACGCCGCCCCCGGGCCCGAACTGCGTGGGCAACAACGTGCCCATCGCCAACACGTCGGGCCTTTTGCCCGACTGCCCCGCGCTCCTCGAGCCCCACAACGCGAGCTGCGCCAATGTGCACAAGTACACGGACGACCCCCAGTTCCACCCGATGGACGCCTGCTTCGGCGAGAACGACCCGAACGGCCCCTTCTGGTTCAACGGCGTCTACCACCTCATGTACCAGGATCATGTCACCGGCGGCGTCGTCGGCGGCCACCTCGCGTCCGACGACTTGATCACGTGGCGCCAGCTCGAGCCCGCGCTCTGGAACGACGAGTGGTACGACAAGGGCAGCGTCTACACGTTCTCCGCGACGCTCGTCGACGGCGTGCCGACCATCGTCTACCCGGGCATCGCCTGGCCGAACTCGACGCTCGGCGACTGCGGCCAGGAGTGCTTCGCGCACGCCGTCGCCGTGCCGGCGAACCTGAGCGACCCGGACCTGAAGGACTGGGTCAAGCCCGACTACAACCCCATCGTCGTCAACACGCAGCGCGACCCGTCGACGGCCTGGCAGACGTCGTCGGGCGAGTGGCGCTACACGTACTACGACGGCGACATCTTCGCGTCCGACGACTTCAAGGTCTGGAAGAACGTGGGCAAGCTGTTCGGGAAGGCCGAGTGCCCCGACTTCTTCCCGCTCCCCGCGGACTGCGCGGGCTGCGCCGCAAATGCTTCAGTTCAAGAAGTGTTCAAGGTTGAAGTCAACATCGGCGCTCTCCGAGGGCAGCCCGGACGACGATGTCGATCTCCTCATCGTCGTCGGATAATGAAGAGGAAGCGGCGCAGCCGGATGCGCCGGCCCACGCGCTGACCTACTTCTCGCACCGCGCCGCCCTGCGCTGCGACCTGACGCAGCTCCTCTTCGCTTTGTCGGACACGCCGCTCAAGATCGAGCGCGTGCTCTACCCCGAATTCCTGCAGCAAAAGGCCACGTACCCGGGCGGCCAGCTGCCGGTCCTGCGGCACGGGGGCCGGGCCGTGGGCCAGAGCAAGGCCATCGCGCGCTACGCGGCGACGCTCGGCGACCTCTACCCGTCGGACGCGTGGGACGCGGCCGAGGCCGACGCCCGCGTCCCGCGGCCGCGACGATGTTCGAGAGATTTGGGGTGGAGAAATCGTCACCGTCATGCGTGGTAGGCCGACGCGATCGTCGACCGGCTGGAGGATCTGGGCACGATCGCCTGGTATTTGTGCAAGACCGACGACGCGCGGGCGGCGGCGCTGGCGACGACGCTCGAAAGATTTGAAGTAATCGCGCCCGAGATCCAGGCGCGGCTCCGGGACAACTTCATGCGCGAGGCGTCGCCGTGGCTCGTCGGCGGCGACATGTCCCTGGCCGACGTCGCCTGGTACGCGGCGCTCCACGAGATCGCGACGATCCAGGCCCTCGGCGCGCCGCCCGCGCCGCCCGCGCCGGACGATGCCGTGCTGGCGGACCTCGACGCGCTCCTGCCCGTCGTCCGGAGCGCGCCGGACTGGCGCGCGCGCATGGAAGGCGTCCCCGGCGGCCGCCGCGCCTTCATCCGCGCGGCCGAGCCGCCGCCGCCGCCGCCGCCGGCCGCGGAGGCCGACGGGCCGACGGTCGTCCGCGTCGCGGCGATGGCGTCCGCCGCGGACGTCGCGCGCGCGCGCCTCGACCGCGCGTCGACGCTCGCGGCCGAGGGCGTCGCGCCCTACGCGGCCGTCGCGGCGGCGCTGCGCGCGCGGCGGGAGCGCGACGCGTCCTTCGTCGCGGGCCTGCTCCGCGGCAGGAAGCAGCTCCTCGACCTCTACGACCGCGTCGACGCCCTGCCGGCCGCGCGCCGCGTCGTCAAGACCTGGGGCGAGCCGGGCGCCTACCGGACCCACTTTTAACTCAGCGGGGTCGCCTGTGTCGAAGAAATTTCCCCTGCAACTTGAAGGCGTCTTCAAGGTGTTTGCCGGGCCGTACGTGTTCGAGCATCTTGTTCGAGCCGTGCACTCCTCCAGCATTGATGAGTGCTGAGCATTCCCACATGCGCGTCCTGCTCGCCGCCCTGATCGGCAGCGCGCGCGGGCTGCCCACCGCTGCGCCGACCGAGTCCTTGGGCGGCTGCCCCTTCCTGACCTCGAATAATGATTACTTTGGGGCGTCGCGCTGCGACGAGGCGAGCTACGACGAGGAGTGGGACGAGGCGAGCGAGTACGAACACGAGTGCTACATGCACGAGTGGATCGCGTCGTCGTGCGCGGAGCTCCGCTGCGACCCCGAGTCGGAGCGCCTCTGGCTCACGAAGAGGCACGTGCACGACATGCACCGGGAGAATTCGAACAACTGGTGGTCGTGGCGGACGGACGCGTGCATGGTCCTGTCGCCGGACGGGCGCTTCTACCGGGCGACGACGGGCTACGAGGCGACGCGCGAGGAGGGCTGGATGGACAAGGGCTCGTACCGGGACAGCACGGACGTCGACGCGAGCGGGCTCGCGGGCCTGAACGCGACGGACGCGTCGGTCCTGGCGTGGGGGCGGCGCGCGTACGCGGCGTGCGTCGAGCAGTGCGGCGGCTGCGACGCGACGGGTGCGGCCGTCGACCGCGTGCCCGCGGGCCTCGACGCGTTCTTCGCGGCGCCGTACCCGGCCGTCGACCGCCCCGCGCTCGACGACGCCGGCTGCTTCTCGGCGAGGGCGCTCCGCGGCGAGGACTGGCCCTTCGTCTCGACGGGCCACTGGGTCGTCATCTGCGTCATGGCCCTGGTCCTCGCGACGCCCTGGGTCCTGGGCGTCTGCGCGTCGCGGCGATGCTGCCCGTGGTACGGCTCGCTCCAGCGCGTCCGCAACGAGTTCGCCGACGCGTGCCCCTGCCTCGCTCGGTGTCTGCGCCTGCTCTGCGTGTCCGGCTGCGCGTCGTGCGCCCGGTGCTGCGGCGCGTGCCGCCGCCGCGTCCGCGGCTGCGTCCGCGCGCCGCCCCGGAAGGCGAGCGCGGACGTCGCGCCGGAGGAGGACGACGCGGCGGCGGCGGCCGGCGAAGCTCCGGCGGACGACGTCGTCCTGCTCGAGCCCCAGGCCGAGGACGCGCCCGGGCCGCGCGGCGCGGGATTCCGCGCGCGCGGCGCGTCCGTCGCGGGCCAGGCGCGGCTCGTGCTCTGGAAGATCTGGAAGACCAAGTCCCGGTCGCCGTCGACGGTCCTGTCGCAGCTCGTCTTCCCCGCGGCCTGGTTCGTCGTCGTCTGGCTCCTCTACGTGATCATGGCCAAGACGTTCCTCCCGAACCACCAGTGGAACAAGAAGCACTGGAACTACGCGGCCAAGGGCGGCGACATGCGCGACTACGAGGAGGGCGACATCCTGAGCCACGGGCTCCTCGAGGTCTACCTCTGCCAGTTCGCCTTCGTGCCGCTCATGCAGGCCGTCGTCGTCGCCGTCGTCGTCGAGCACCGGGCCAAGCTCGTCGAGTCGATGAAGATGGCCGGGCTCCGGCCGCTGGCCTACTGGGCCGCGACCTTTGCGGCCGAGGCGCTCGCCGTCGGCTTCGCCTGCGCGTTCCTCGTCGCCTGCGTCGCCTGCGGGGGCCTCTTCCGGCGCGCGGGCCACGCCGCGGACCCCTTCGGCACGCTCCTGGCGCTGCACTGGACCTACGTCGTCGCGCTCGCCGCCCAGTGCTTCGCGGTCACGACGCTCGTGACGTCGCCGACGGCCGCGGCCGTCTACGCGCTCGCCGCGCAGCTCGCGGCGACGGGCGCGTACCAGTCGCTCGTCGTCGAGACGACGGACGCGGGCAAGCGCGTCGTCCTCAGCCTCTTCGAGGCGTCGGAGTCCCGCCAGCTCGTCGCGGCGCTCCTGCCCCAGTTCGCCTACGCGCTCGTCGTCGGCGGCTTCCGGAGCCACCGGACCCTCATGTGCGACCTCGGCGCGGGCCTCGGCGCCGAGACGTTCCAGTCGCCGGCCTTCGAGTGCGACGACGACAAGGCCGAGGCGCGCGCGGGGGTCCAGCTCGCCGCCTGGGCCCAGGCGCGCGGCGCCGAGGCCTGGTCCTGCTGGCTGAGCTACGACTACTCCTACGGCGGCGGCGCGTACGAGGCCTCCTCCTCCTCCTCCTACTCCTACGCCTACGGCGCCGACGCCTCCTCCTCCTACTCCTACGCCTACGCCGCCGACGCCTACGCCTACGAGCCCCTGGACCGCTGCGAGCGGACGCGGGCGCCGTCGGAGTACCCGCCGTTCTACGCGCGCGACGCGCCGTTCTACGGCGACGGCCCGCGGCCCGCGCCGCGGTGGACCGCGGCGATCTACGGCGTGCTCGTCGCGGACGTCTTCCTCTACCTGGGGCTCGCGTGGTACCTGAGCCAGGTCGTGCCGTGGGCCGCGCACGGGACGCCGCGGCGGTGGTACTTCCCGCTGCTCCCGTCGACGTACGGGTGCCGCCGCGAGGCGAAGAAGGACGTCGAGCTCGAGCGCCTGGATGGGCACGACGATGCGGAGGACGAGGCCCGGCCGGAGGCCTACGAGCCGCGGCGCGGCGCGACGGTCGTCGAGGTCAAGCGGCTCCGGCGGACCTTCGGCGCGTTCGCCGCCGTCGACGGCGTGAGCTACTCGGTGCTGTCGGACTTTGCGCGCGCGAGCAAGGGGCTCGGCGTCGTCAACCAGCACAACACGCTCTGGGAGGACCTCACGTGCCTCGACCACCTCGCGCTCTTCGGCGCCATCCGGTGCGCGGACCCGGCGACCGTCGCGGAGCTCGCGGCGGCGACGCTCCGGCGCGTCGAGCTCGGCGCGCACGCGGCGAAGCTCGCGGGGCGGCTCTCCGGCGGCATGAAGCGCAAGCTCTGCTGCGCCGTGGCGCTCGTCGGCGACCCGAGCGTCGTCCTCCTCGACGAGCCGTCCGCGGGGCTGGACCCCGTCAGCCAGCGCAACCTCTGGAACCTCATCAAGGCGACGATGCGGGGGCGGAGCGTCGTGCTCACGACCCACTCCATGTTCGAGGCCGAGGTCCTCTGCGACCGCATCGCCATCCAGGTCCGCGGCCAGCTGGCGTGCCTCGGGACGCCCGACCACCTCAAGCGGAAGTTCGGGTCCGGCTACGAGCTCGTCGTCGCGCTCGACGCCGCGCTCGAGGCCGACTTCGCGGCGGGCGTCGCGCGGGTCGTCGCGTTCGTCGTCGGCGCCTTCGAGGGGGCGCGCCTGGCGTCCACGGACGCGTCGATCCTGACCTTCGAACTCGCCGCGGCCGACGCGAGCCTCGCCAGGGTCTTTCGAGCCTTCACGGACGAGGCCAAGCGCGACCTGGGCGTCGCCGCGTTCTCCCTGCAGCAGGCGTCCATGGAGAAGGTCTTCATCCGCATCGTGGGCGCGGGGGGCGAGTACGACGCCGAAACGACGGAGACGGCCAAGCTCGGCCGCGACGTCGCCGGGAGGCTGCAGCGGGACGCCGAGGACGACGAGATCCAACGGGAGCTCGCCGAGGTGGCCTTCGTCGAGTCCACGTGCTGCTGCATGTCGCAGTTACTTCGAGGTCGCGCGCTGGAGCGAGCCCTACGACTCCATCCCCGACATCTGGGGCCCCGTCGCGTCGGCCGTGGCGCCCATCTTCGACAAGCGCGCGGATCCGTGGACGTTCCTGGGCGTCGCGGCCGCCGACGTGCCGCTCTGCGAGCTCGAGGCGCTCTCCGGGTACACGGACGACGGCGGCGACGTCGCGGCGAACCCGACGCAGCAGGGCTGCGCCTGCGAGGAGGGCTCCTACGAGTACGACGGCAGGACCTTCGAGGGCTGCACGTCCTACGACTGGTCCGTCCCGTGGTGCGGCACGACGAACTGCGGCATCTGCGACGACCTCGTGAGCACCGGCTGCTGGGACGAGTGCGAGGACTCGGGCACGGTCCGCGGCAAGATGGAGGCCTACCTCCGCGGCCGCTCCTCGGCCGTGTGCGCGGGCCGGATCGCGGCGTTCACCGACGGCGCGATCGAGCTCACGGCCGCCGCGACGAACGCGCTCCGCGAGAGCTTCCCCTGCCCCGTCGGCACCGCGGCCGCCGAGGATGACGAGTGGATCTCGGCGCTCACCGTCGCGAACCCCTTCTCCGTCGGCGCGGACTGGCGCGACGACGAAAGCTCGTACGACGCGCAGACGCTCGGCCGCGAGTCGTCGTGCGGGTCCCTCTGCGAGATGCAGCCCTGCGACAGCTGCGACGCCGCGTTGACGCCGACGTGTTCCTACGAGCTTTGCCTGAGCGCCGCCGAGAGCGGCACGCGGGAGGACGCCGGGGACGCGTACTGCTCCTCCTCTCTGGACACGGGCGCGCGAGCGAACCTGCACGAGGGCCTGCTGCTCTTCACGGCGCTGTACGCCGCCGCGCGCGCGCGGCCGTAAGTGCCATGCTCGCTCGCGCACACACGGGCCTGCGCAGAGGCTCGAGGGCAAAGTGGACCCCGAACGCCGCGAACCGGAACGCGCGCGCGCGGGTCGCGCCCCAGCAGGTCGCGACGCCCGAGCAGGTCGCGACCGCCCAGGTCGCCAAGGTGCCCGTCGCCGTCCCCGTCGAGGCGCCCGCGATCTGGGGCGATGTCGTCAACTCATAATGCTGCAGTCATCATTGACATCAGCATCTATAGAACTTTTATCCAAGGGGATCTTCATGTATCCCCTTGTTTTATCGATCGTGATGAGATGATGCTCTCCAGGCGGGGCTGGGCGCCGCGCCTCGTCGCGGTCTGCCTCGCGGCGACGAGCCGCGCCACGGCGACCTTGGTCGCGTACTACTCCTTCGACGACGGCACGGCCGCCGACGACGGCGACGGAAGCCTCGACGGGATCGTCAGCGGCGCGACGGCGTCGACGGGCCCCGACGGCAGCGGCGCGCTGTCCTTCGACGGGAGCAACGACTACGTGAAGTTCCCGGACGCGCTGACGTCGGGCATCCTCGGGAGCAACGCGCGGACCGTGTGCCTCTGGGCGGCCATCTCGTCCTTCAACGACGCCGCGCTCTTCACGTTCGGAGACTACGCGGACGGCGAAGAATTCGCGCTGATGACGGCGACCAGCGCGGGAGGGTTCATCGTGCAGCTCTACGGGGGCGACTACGACACCGACGTGTCCGTGAGCGGATGGTCCGACGACGACGGCTGGCACTTCTACTGCCTCGTCTACGACGGCGCGGAGTGGTCGTTCTACGTCGACGGCGCGGTCGCTCACACGGCGACGGCATCGCTCGCCACGGGCAGCGAGAACATCCTCACGATCGGCGTGCGAGACGGCGAATCGTACCTGACGGGTAGCGTCGACGAGCTCTACGTCTACTCGAGCGCGCTGTCGGAGAGCGAGATCCAGACCCTCTACGTCGGAGACACGCTGATCGCGTACTACTCCTTCGACGACGGCACGGCCGCCGAGGACAGCGACAGCAGCCTCGACGGCACCATCAGCGGCGCGACGGCGACGACGGGCCGCGACGGGAGCGGCGCGCTGTCGTTCGACGGCGTGGACGACTACGTCGAGTTCCCGGACGCGGTGACGGCCGACATCGCCGGCGACAGCGCGCGCACCGTGTGCCTCTGGGCGGCGATCGACGCCTTCAACGGCGGCGGGCTCTTCATGTACGGGGGCTCGGACTACAACGCGGAGTACGGCGAGTTCGGCCTCGCCGCGGACGTCGTCTCGGGCAGCGTCGAGATCACGATCTCGGCGACCCTCCTCAACAACCTCGTGACGCTCTCCGGCTCCGACGACGGCGACTGGCACCACTACTGCCTCTCCTACGACGGCGCGACGCTCGCGCTCTACTACGACGCCGCGCTGGCCTACTCGGGGGCCGCGGACCTGGCCACGTCCGACTCGCCGCTCGAGATCGGCGGGGGCAGCATCCACTTGTCCGGCTCCATCGACGAGGTCTACGCGTACACGTCCGCGCTCGACGCGGACGCGATCGAAGAGCTCTACGATTCGTACGGCGTCTCGCCAAATCCCACGCCGGCGCCGACGCCGACGCCGACGCCCGAGCCGACGCCGACGCCGACGCCGCGACCGACCGTCGAGTGCCTGCGCGTCTCGTTCTCCGAACGCGTCATCGCGGCGGACCTCGACAGCACCGAAGCCGTCTACGCCGTCGACGTCGACGGCGACGGCGACGTCGACGCGCTCGCGGCGGGCGCCAAAGCGAAAGCGGTCGTGTGGTACGAGAACGACGGGGCGCAGAGCTTCACCGAGCGCATCATCACGGATTCGGTGGACGACGCGCTCCCCGTCTACGCGCTCGACGTCGACGGCGACGGCGACGCGGACGTGCTGTCGGGGTCCTCGAGCGACAACACCTTCTCGTGGTACGAGAACGACGCGGCGCAGAGCTTCACGGAGCGCGCCATCGCGGTCCTCGCGGACAGCGCCAAATCCGTCTTCGCGATCGACGTTGACGGCGACGGCGACGTCGACGCGCTCGCGGCGTGCGAGGGTGGCAGCTCGATCGCGTGGTACGAGAACGACGGCTCCCAGTCCTTCACGGAGCGCGTCATCTCGGACGAGGCGGATGGCGTCGCCTCGGTCCAGGCGATCGACATCGACGGCGACGGCGACGTCGACGGCGTCTCGGCGCTCGCCGACGGCAACGCGGTCGTGTGGTGCGAGAACGACGGGGCCCAGTCCTTCACGGGGCACGAAGTTGCGTACGGCGGCGACCGACGCCTCACGGACAGCTTCAGCAGCGACGCCAGCGACTCGATTTCGCTCGTCGCCGCCGACTCGCTGGTGTCGGGAGCGCAATGCGCGTTCGCGATCGACGTGGACGGCGACGGGGACGTCGACGTGCTGTCGGCGGCCTACGACGACGACGCGATCGCGTGGCACGAGAACGACGGGTCCCAGGGCTTCACGGAGCACGTCATCTCGGACGAGGCGGACGGCGCCCACTCCGTCTACGCCATCGACGCCGACGGCGACGGCGACATCGACGTGCTCGCGGCGTACTACGACTCGAACGAGGTCGCGTGGCACGAGAACGACGGGGCGGAGAGCTTCGCCGAGCACGTCATCACCGACTCGGCGGCCAGCGCCGCCGCCGTCTTCGCGATCGACGCGGACGGCGACGGCGACGTGGACGTGCTGTCGGCGTCGGCCGGCGACGCGACGATCGCGTGGTACGAGAACGACTGCGATTCGGCTCCGCCGACGGCGGCGCCGACGGCGAGCGCCGCGCCGACGCTGAGCCCCGCGCCGACGCTGAGTTGGCCCCCGACGCCGCGGCCGACGGTGCGCTGCCTGAGCGTCGCGTTCTCCGCGCGCGCGATCACCGAGGAGGTGGAGAGCCCTCGCTCCGTCTTCGCGATCGACGTTGACGGCGACGGGGACGTGGACGTACTCTCGGCGTCCGAGGACGACGACACGGTCGCGTGGTACGAGAACGACGGGTCCCAGTCCTTCTCCGATCACCTCATCGTCGACACGGCGGATGGCGCCATGTCCGTCTTCGCCATCGACGTCGACGGGGACGGGGACGTGGATGCGCTCTCGGCGTCGTACAACGACGACACGGTCGCGTGGTACGAGAACGACGGGTCCGAGGCTTTCGCGGAGCACGTCGTCGCGTGGGAGGACGACAAAGAATGGTCAGTCTTCGCGATCGACGTCGATCAAGACGGCGACGTCGACCTGCTGTCGGCGGCCCGCGGAGACAACACGGTCGCGTGGTACGAGAACGACGGGGAAGAGAGCTTCACGACGCGCGTCGTCGCGGACTCGGCGCTGGGCCCCCGGTCCGTGGTTGCGACCGACGTCGACGGCGACGGCGACATCGACGTGCTATCAGCGTCCGCGTCCGACGACACGGTCGCGTGGTACGAGAACGACGGGACCGAGTCGTTCGCGGAGCGCGTCATCTCGGACGAGGCGGACGGTCCCTACACCGTCTTCGTGATCGACGTCGACGGCGACGGCGACGTCGACGCGCTGTCGGCGTCCTACAGCGGCGATATGGTCGCCTGGTACGAGAACGACGGGGCGCAGAGCTTCGCGGCGCGCGTCATCACCGACTCGGCGGACGGTGCCAACGAAGCCGTCGCGATCGACGTCGACGGCGACGGCGACGTCGACGCGCTCTCGGCATCCGCCGTCGACG